ACCTCGCACTTTCGGCTTTTACTTTAAACCTCACCGTCCGCGCTCTATCCGTCCGCTCTAGTACCTTCACTTTCGCACGTTTTCCGACCGGATTAAAAGAGAATCGCGGCTTGCCAACATCGTACGATCGTTTGCGGAATCTTCCAAATCCAACATTTTTGCAGGAAAGGATCTCGTTAGGTTAATTGCCGGGCTCTTAACGTTCGTTAAGTTTTTATAACAGCCAGTCATCGATTAGCAGAAAAGTTCCGGGAAGAATTGCTTTCAATCGCGCGTTTTACCATCTTGGCGAAAATGCCCGAGTTATTATTTTAATTAAGTACCGACCCCCATCCGCTGCAGAAATTTCAGTTGCGATCGACGAATCAATGCGCCACGTCGTAAAATAAGATGATAATGAACATTCGAAGAGAGATGCGAGAAGAAAGAAGACACGTTGCTTTTTAAGAGGGAAATTTCACCGGACGGAACCGCAAACGGAAAAATTCGTTTCACGAGGGGGCAATGTATGTTTTCGCGCAGTAAGCATATTTCTCCAGTATGTATCTCTCACGGAAATATATTATGTTTATCGTGCCGTAGCGTTCGCCGGCCTGAGTCCCTTTCCCGCACTTTAACCCTCGTTTCGCCCTCGTCCTGAACGCCTCCGTGGCACGATACAGCCAGGATTACCACGAAACTCGGTGAAACGTCTCCAACTCTCATCGAATAAATAACAGGAGAAATCCGGACGACTCTCGACTCGGAACACGTCGTATTCGCGACGTCAGTCGTTTTCGCGGCAAGACAGAAAAGCCGCACGCGGATAAACAATGGACGTTGGAGGCGCTTTGACGCCGAATTGGCGATGATGCGCTTGTCAGTGCGAAATTCGCCACTACTAACATGCAAACGTACTTTGTCACTTACCCCCTTTGTCCTCTGTCTTGGGCTCCGCGTCGCAGACGCGCCACAAGTCCACTTGACGTCGAGCGTAGTTGCGATCCTAAACAGATGTCGAAAGGTAAAGATAAATAAATATCGACGGGAGGCAAATTGCACAGTGACGCGTATGTGTAATAAAGTTACACCGTTCGCTGCATATGTATATGTGTAAAATGTGTCAAGGACTGCGGCATCGAAGCTACGTATGGAAATTCACTCGGTTTTGTGCCGCTTGCGGATTAAAGAGGACCTGTCGGGTGTCCCTTAGTGCTCGTACTGTTTGCCACAAAGCGCACGTACACCTAAGGTAATATTATCATAACACGTTAAAAGGGTACAAGATTTAACGCTAGATTACGATCGATCTGTTTTTCTTCAATTTGCGCCGTGTTTGCGCGGTGCAACGTAAATCTATTCATCCGTTGTGGGCCTATCCATCCACATCCGAAGCCGGGACGTGAGATTTGCAGGCGGCGCGAGCCCGCAATTGTCCAGATCCGTTGCTACGAATGTTTAGAAAACATTCCGAAAATGTGCGCGGACTATTACCCCCTGTTAATAGAGAAAACGCGGATATAACTTTAGCCGGTCCGGAAATCAGAAAATCCGATCGTATCCAAGCGGCTTTGCTTGTCGCGCTTAAATCGGTGAATAATTTAAATACCGTTCTTGTGCGCATACCTATATATTATCGACGCGGTAATTACGTTTTCGCTCGGTTCCGTCCTTTCGTGTTTCTTGCACGCAAAACTTTATCCACATTACATTTATTCGCCGATAATTGAAACCACCCATTCGTTTCTCGCATATCACGTTATTACACGAGAAACCGTTTCGCGTAAAAATACAAGCATCGTATCCAGATAATTTTAATAATACAAATTAAATATATCTCACTCAAGTAATTTGAGTTCACGTTTTGTATATATTTCGAAAATGGAAAGCTTGGCTTTCGTAAATACATTTTGATGTTATCTAGAAATTTTACCGTGGAAATTGTTAAAAATTATATTTTTAAATGCATATAACGCTACTAACGTTTGGATTCGTGTTACAAATTGCTTTTCGAGTATTAATTGTTTAAATAAAGTTTACTCGGGCGCTTTCCAGTCGGTTGTTCATAGAAGATAATTTTCGACTGGTTCTCCAGAGCCTTGGAAAAGTGTCTCTTGGAAAATAGCTCCCCTTTAAATTAATCGGAGTTCGAGGACACACGGGAGCCACTATGATTGATGCGGAATTAAATTGGCATTTGTTTTAACGAAAAAAAGTATTCCCCCCGTCGATAGCTTTCGCGCGAGATGAGATGAAACGTCATTTCGCCGATTGATCTATTTTAATTGGTTTCACTGGTAATTAAATACACGTGATGATTGTTCGATGAGGATTTGCCCGACAGCTTGGAAGTCAACGGGCGTAACCATGTAACGGGATTAACATGATCGCTTTTATTTGCTCCTGCCTCCGATTTATTTATTCTCCGACAATTTACTGGATTATAATGCGCGGTATTACGAGTTTTAAGCCACTTGGGATTCTGCTGGTGTAGAATGGAAGCTGCACTTTCTAGAATTGATAGGACTTCCTTCGTAATCCGATACGCCAAATGCGTTTATACTCGATCAAAAGCCAGACACGCATAGCGCACTGCGATATACATAACTACTCGATCAACGTCCCGTTTACGGGCCTAACTGAAATTATTAGCGCATGATAATCAGCAATTTCGATCGACAGAAACTCTATATAGGCAATTCATTTCGAATGGAGCTAATTACTCGAGTCCTAAACAATATCTCGTTTTGTATAAAGGGTGAATCACAGCAGCCGTGAAAATATGGCTGATATATATCAGACGGCACAATAGCATTGTATGTCGATATAAGAGAGGAAAGGTATTCGCATTGTCAGACGTGGCCAATAAATGGCAGGGCTTTGTCACCCGGTGCTGTGCCAAGCCCGCGAAAAAGTTTTACGCGCGACAGGTGTTTCGTGACGTGTATTTCCACGCGAGCCATTTTACATAAAATGGTTTTCTTATCTTGATGCATGGTTATTTTGCATAAACGGAGAAAACTTATGCAAGGATATACATACATCGGCCGACGAGTCTGTACATATTTACCAAGCTGTTAATCCAAATTACGGCGTCAAAGGCTTTCGTAAAATCATTCACTTTCCGTCTGTGCTGAATAATTGAACTTGGAAATTTGGCCGGCGGAAGATCGAGCAGCGGGTTTGAAATGCGCCGTTTAAAGCGAACATAAATCTCTCATTATTTCAACGGTATTACTTTCAGCAAACGAGATGTTGGATAGTTTATGATTCCTAATTAAAGTGTACCGCTTAAATGAATCAAGTGTATTGCATATTGCACCAAGTCTACCTCGCGTACACTTTGCACAATTTTCCATCAGCTCGAACTAATTAAAACGAAGCGAAGCAACGTCGAAAAGATAAACTCTGGCGGGCTCTTACGGAACGATACACATAAAAACGCCATTTTGCCACAAAGTTATATTCCTTCGTGATGTCGCGAAACGAAGAAGGAAGAAAAATACAGTGCATTATATACATCGCCGAGCACCAAACTTCACGAATAAGTGGAGCATGGATAAAAGCAAAGTTAGTAAGTGTATAATTAACAACTCCGTTAAGAGAGTTCAAACTCGAGAGTATTCAGAAGTGGAAGTAGCAAGGATATGGGAACATCAGCAGGCCAAGAGAGCGTGAGACATAAGCCCTCTTACAAGAATGAATTTAAATTCAAGCGATAAAACGCGCGATCAAACTCAAAATGACATAAACTGCCAACAATCGCAACTCTCAATAGGAATTGTATCATTATATCGTATCATTCTTAAAGAGTTTCTATTAATCTAAACCCAAGTTTACTCAATAATCATATTATTCAAATGTACATTCAATCTTTGCGCCAAGACATTTCAATCGCAATCTCTTATTGTTACACGAAAATAATACAACGTACATTTTGCTAAATACATAACGTACGAAGAAGAATCCACGGTGGTAGACCGTAGACTCTGTAGCTATAAACCAGAGCATCGTTATGGGGGGCCTAACTCGCACAGCAAGGGATACAGCGAGCAAAAAATAATAATGGTTTCGCCAAGTTGGCTGATTACGTTGAAATTGGAAAGTGGTTGTCAGACCCTGATCATGCAGTTCAGAATTAATTACCTCGATTAGAGGATGCCTGTCATCGCGAGAGCATTTCTTGCGGCAGGCTCGCCCCCGGGGGGAAAGCAACGACACGACCTTATCTACCTCGAAAGGTCCAACGTTCGATCCATTGACTCGTCGAGACCCTAATACGACGCACGGAACTGACGTCGGCCGATAGGTCGCCCGTGTCCTAGAATCGGGCTCTGATCGACATCCCGGTATGTACATCCACCCGAGACAGACTATCCGTTGGCAGACGGCACATACGCAAACGGCAGGCAGCCGCTGTCGACGAGACGACGCTTTAAATCGGCCACATTCGTTTTCGACGTTACGTCCCACACAATTCCTATCGCTTCCTTCCTAATCCGAATATCGAGCTCGAGATTTCTCGCCCAAGTTTTCATCATTTTCACATACGTATATTCAGAACGCGTTTAAATTAAAAATTACAGTACAACTTTTAGAAAAATTAACATTACGGAAACATGTGTGAAAGAATTGCAAGTTTATCAGTGTATTATTTAAACTCGTATATATTTTCGTCTAAATAACTTCTTCCCACCTTCGTTCCTCCGATATAAAGATCGTGTCTAGCGTCGGATGATGTGAGAGGAAGGGAGATAATGAGATAGTCACATTTCACGGCAAATGCGCGACAAGAATGCTACCATTCGTACTATAGATCCACTTTGCCACTTCTCTCCCGCGGGACGCGACACCCGCGTCGTGGCACGATCGATCAGAATTAAAATTCGCGTCCGGTCGCACCTTTCTCCCGCGCCGACCATCGCCCTAATGCTTCTCGCCCTCCGAGTAATTGGCGTTCTCTAATGCCCTTTCGAGGTCACTTATGTAAGTAATGCGTGACCTCATTTCTGTCGTTCCAGAGATGTAAGGAATGATCACGTGGATGATGGTCGGGCTGCTTCTGGCTGCGGAAACTTGCGGCAGAAACGTCCTCTCCGGAAACGAAAACGGAAACGGAAAGGAGGAGGAGGAGGCGAAGCGGCGGGAGGATCTGAAGGGCGTCAGCGCGGACGAGGAAGACATCTATCGTGGGTATCGACGCTGGACCGTCGAAAAATGAACAGAAACGTTCGGTAGAGAATAGATAGAGAGTCGGTACAAAGAGAAGAGTACGAGGGGAAGAGAAAAGAGTCAAACGAAATCCATGATTTACTCGGCTAACTCGAGTTTATCCCAACTCACCGATCCTGCAGTCGAACGCCACTAATCTCCGAACTACTGCTTATCCTTCCTACCAACTCTCTCTTTCTCACCTCGCACGTGTACCACAGCCCTTCCTGTCGACGACACCCCCTTACTCGTCGTCGTACAAGGCGCATTCACCATCGCGAAAGCTCTTCCACTATCGCTACGGTAAAAGCACCGCCGTAACTTTACATTAACGAATTTAGCTTCTGCCACATAAGACGCTTGTTCCGGGACACCATTCCAACAAAGTCATCCCTTTTCTGGCACAGTCGGCTGTTCAAACTTAGTGGTTTGGCTTGTTGTTAACTTTTAGACGTCTAGACGGCTAAATTCGTTTCGTCCCTGAATGTATTGTATGTTGCCTTGAATTTTCTTTCTCTCCAAATAGAATTTCCGTATCTCTACGGCACAACGGTGCAATTAAGAGTTAACGCTCGCATCTTCGCCCCGTCCCATCTCGATTGTCCCAGTGACGCACTTACTCAGCTCGACGCTCTTTCTGTTGCAGGTCTAACGTGCTACACTTGCGTCAACGTCAGCGATAACCAGGTATCGACGACTCCATTAAACGTTCCCTTAAGAGTCCCGTAATGACTCTATCGTGCCCGGTCCAACCGCAATTTTCTTCAACTCTGTGGATCGTTCCGCTATCGATTTCGGTTTATTCTAAACTTCCCTTGTTGCATTTCGCTTCATTCCTTTTGCAATAACGGTCTTATCTCCAATCCCTTTCCTCTTTCTTTGCAGAAATACGCAGCAGTTTACTCTATCACCCATTAATTCGCAAATGTTTCCAGAATATTCACAAACTTTTGAGAGAACAATACAATACACGTATATGTACAAGCTAGTTTTTCATTTATTATTCCTTTTCGTTAGATAAAATAATTCTTTCCGGTTAAAAAGAATATGTAATGAATATTGTACAGCTAAACATATTTCAAAATCATAAAAATAGCACTTTATACGTTTCCAGTTACATTCTCTTTGTATTCATTCTTTCATGTAATGTTTACACAAAAGAATTTATGCAACGTCTCGAAAATATTATAATTCCTCGAAAATGATTCCTGTACGTGCTTTCTCTCTTCAGCTTCGTCATATATCGAGAAATACGTGGTCGATATTGGCAATATAGATTTTGATTCTTTATATAAAGATTTCTCATGAATGCTGCTATTCCTATTCTTGCAGATGTGCAACGAATGGGCGATAGACACACCGTGTCCGGTGGGCGGCCGTGATTTTTGTCGATCGCTGCACATTTTGGATAGCCGGGGAAAAAGCGTCTTGGTAAGTATACTTTTTTTTTCATTTGTTCCGCTTGTAACTTTATCCCTTACTGGAAGAGGGACGAAATATATAAATTTTGAGTACATCGTCGAGTAGCTGACGTATACGTATATAAATATAAAAATACCTATATTTTTTGTATTAAACTTATAAAGTTTTCTTATGAAAAATTACGGGGCGACAACCCCCTAGCTCGACATATTTCATTTCAAAGCTGGATATCACAGAAATTATGAAATACATCAAAATTATTTCAAGTAAATCTGTACAATGTTAAAAGATAAGCAAACTATTTAAAGCTTGAGTTGCTTGTAAATTCAATTGCACTGTCAAAATTTTTTAACGTAGAACAAAGTCCCCTATTATGAGATGGGATCCTAATATGAGATAGCGGAGTTTCTGTTAAATTAATAGACATCATCAGTTGACTCCACTATGAATTTATTGCTCTTGGAGCGAATCTGTTTAGTGGAAAATTCATTGTTAGGTTGTGTAATCGTTGCGAAAAGAGATTTGTGATTGAATTTGGGTGTTGAAGACCTGCTGTCTCATATTAGAAACCTACCTCGTAATAGAGGACTTTCCTCTTATATTTTGAAGTGCAACATATTTTCTCTTATACGAGCATATATTTTGCTATTCACAATCTTAGCGAGTATGAAAAAGTATCAGTTGCGAACGTTGCCTTATCAAGGGACAGTCGCGCTTTTGAAACGAAACGAGAAACCGCAAAAAAACATTGGGGGAAGGGCCGGGACACGAACCGACAATAACAAATCGACTCTCGCGATCGAAGTAAATTTCATTACCACCCGGACCGTAGTACACGTACGGTCAAATAAAATCAATTAAAGGTTATCGTATGTGGCTAATTGACTTACATTAGAGGGATAATCGATTTTCGGGCTATTAATGAATGAAGTTACGAGAACGGATTCGGGCCTGGACGTCGAGATGGATAGCCCTCTCGAGCTTAAGCGCTTCTCCAGTCCAGTCGATGTACCAGCGGATGAACTTTGATGGAACTTTCCACGCTCCGACGCTTGACGACGATAATGCGCGATAATCTAATATCGCGCATTACCGGCGACAAAACTAGCTATCTAGTTTAATAAGTTATTTCCAACTTTGCAATTAAAAATTAACATTATGAGAGCACTGAAGACGCGAATAAAAATTCTTTACGCCTCCGTTTTTTCCCCTTCTTTTCAACGTTAACTACTTGGAAAATATTTGCGCATTATATTTCTCGTGACTGCGGACTGGATTTGTCGCTGCTTCCAATGGCGAGATCGAAAAATTCCAATATCTACAGAATCTCTGTCTCGTCGCGCTCATTCACGCGTCACCTCCGCTTCCTTCCGTTCCAGGTAAGGAAGAGTTGCGCCAGCAGCGAGGAATGCGGGTCAGCGTCTGTCGGTTGCATTCCCATGGACACGCAGCAGGTGCGAAATAGCGAATTTTGTCGTGTACCCGGAGGGAGGTTTCTCGAGCAATTCAAACGAGGCGAAAGACAAAAGAGCGAGGCAACGAAAACGCGGAGAGAACGGGGGAAAAAATAGGAAGGCAGGAGGGAAATACCGACGGAACCGGGTGAAATAAATTCGGTTATTTCGTTTCAGATTTGCATAAGTTGCTGCGACCTGAGCTACTGCAATATCGAGTCGCCCACCAACGCCACCAATGCGATCTATTCCCACAAACGACGCGCCAAGTCGAAATCGAAGCGCAAACGGCCTGGCAGAAACGGGGTCGATGCGGCGACGCGGCTCTACGGATCCAGCTTGCTCTGGCTTCCTGCCTCGCTCTTCTATGCATATCATTGCTGAGGAAGCAGTAACACTACTAACCGCACACGCGAGGCGGACAGCGCGGAAATTGCGCGCGGGTCGCACGCTCGCGACGGTATCGCCGCGCCGAACGGCGTCAACTCTCGCCGATCTCTCTCGATCGAACGTTCTTTTCTCTGTGACTCTTCTCCTTTTCTTCAAGTAGTACTCGCCTAAATAATCGACACCGCCGTCTAATTCCGACCAAGCTCTCTGACGAAACTTGTGCGGAATCTATAAACTTCCTCCCGTGTGCTCGGATTTTTCCGCGCCGAGCTGATCTCGCGGGGCGACTTATCGTCCAATGATTTGGAGAGAAAACGCTATTCTTCTATTTTTCGTACTTCTCGTTTGGCATCTTCGTCAGCGTTATCTTTAATGGAAATCGCAAATTTTGACATACGTCGTATACGTCGATTCAACTCGTGCTACGAGCACGGCAGAGAAACGAGATGTTCGTTTCGGGAATAAAGCGTCCGTAAGGAATTGTTTGGGAGTAGTTCCAGAAGAGATTGAGAGGGACGAGATCCGTAGAAAGAGCGGTCGAGGAACTTGGCGCCTTTCCGCGCTGTCCGAAACGTTTATTAATCGGGGACTTTCCGAACTAATCGGGTCCCCCGTGATGGCAAAAGGAATTGTTTTCTCGTCGTAGTATCGGTAGTTGCTATTGCCTCGAAGTAGATGGAACTTAAGGCACAAGGAGTACGCGGTCGAAGGAGACTTGAGGAAAATCGATAGATCCGAATTCGTTTCCGGCAAGACGACAATCTAGACACTGTGCAATAAAGTCGACTACTAATCACACGAACATGTGCTTTATCACGACGATCTATAAAATATATCCTCTCTGCTTACTCAATGCTCTTTCACAAAATCAAAAACCAAATAAGCTACATGATTCAAAGTAATTAATTTAGAGAGTATAAATAAAATTAAGCATAAACACAGTATATCAAGATATAAAAAAAAATTAATTAAACCGATCTCTCTCGTGATATCGAAATATTTGGCGTACATACATTTCATTTAATTCGATGGAAAATCGAACGGATAAAATTACTTTATATCATGTGTGACTGGCGGTTAATATGTTGAGCGTGGAATGTTTGTTGCAATTAAGGGCATAATTGATCAAAGTAACCGTTAAAATTCGCTGCATCGAAACTTTCGGTATAAATTTACTAACGCTGCGGTGAACGTGTAGCACCGCAGTTTGTAAGTGATGCACCAGAAGCGAATTCGAATTATCGACAAAAATTATCCACACATCTACAAAACTTGCCTACTACAGACTCTTTAACGCTACTATATGATTAACGACTACATAAATATATTACGATATAGATACTATACATTGTTTCGGCATGTAAGAATACTGTTGGTAATGAAATAAAGAAAATTATACTTGTCACGTCCTTTCATTGCCTCTATCAAGGACTAAATTACCTGCCCTTTCATGTCTACCTCATTCATTACATCTACTTTATTCATCTAAATAAATTTAAATAAACGCGAGAGACTTTTAGTTTGCTCATTCCATTAATTTTGATTTACAGGTTTTGTGGCTTTGTAAAGCGGATTAAACCCTGGCTTGCGGAATATCGCAATTTTCGTCGAACAATACCGGCTCCCCGCAAATAATAAAATAAATTGAATAAATTTACTCACCGAAAACGTAGCGCCGCCGCAACAACTCCCACCATCAGCTGTTCCATCAGTGTTAATTTCTGCTTGAAACGCTCTAGCCTCGAGTCCATCAAGTCACATGGATACGAGTGGAAACCGCATTTAATTGCAATCGCACACACCGACGAACCCTTTTGTGCACGCCGTATCATCTTCGATACGTTCCGAGATTGATGGGCTGTAATGACATCCCGCATATTACTAATTATTCGGAGATTATATCTCTTTGAACGAGATATCATTATTTCTTTACTTTTCAACGTAATCTTCTACGTTATATTATAAAAATTATTTTAATACTGTGCCACTCGTAATACATAATGCACAAACTATGTTACGTACAAAATTAATTATTAAATAATATCAAAAGATATGCGCCCATGATCGATACAAGTATTATACAAACATTACCCACATTGGCATCGCTGACCTCGATACAAACCGGAATTCAACTATACCATTACGCGGCCGAGAAAATGCGGTTAATTATGCGCGCGCCAATTAACACGCCGTAACGATCGCCCGCTATTACACCGTTGTTCATTTTCGACTAATAACGCTGGGCAGTTTGATTTTGAATCGATATGACTGAATTTCACAAATTACTCGAATGTCGCGCAGTAACGACTAATTAGCGTTACTCACCTTAATTGATTCGCCATGGCGGACCGGCCGTTTATCCACTCACTGCTGCCCAGCAAGCGTGAATTATGCGGGAACACGGCAGATTGCACCATCTCAATGCGTTGTTACTTTCAAAATGCCTATTTTCACGTAGAATGTACTTTTATGGTGCAGACAGCGCAAAGAAAATTTTCCAACGTCACGCATGGACATGTGTGAATGGAACGTGATGGCAAATTCACTTGTTATGATATCTGAAATAAAATGCAAAATCATAAGCATAATCATAAGTTAATTAAGATTGCACGAGACACCAAGACTCTCTAGTCTTGATGTTGTCTTGATTTTGTCTCAAATTTCGAAACATGATGAGTACATTTTTTATTAATTATCAAGATAATACCAAGACAAAATTGTTAAGACCTTATCAAATTTCTGAGGTTTTAAAAATCGAGATCGGACAAAACGAAACAAGAGTTTTGTTAAAATTCACTCGAGACCGAGGCAAGATAAAAATTTTCAAGATCAATACAATACTTTGACGAATATTGTCTTATCTGGGATCTCGTGCAACCCAATTAATATTATTCATTTCAGTGGTGGTTTTCTTATTAGGTGTAATAAATATCGGTCGGTTATACGTATTTTCACTCGAGTTAATTTAAAGTCTGATTGAAATTCAAATGTAACAAGTGACAGACGTTTGCAATCGTGATATAAATTACGCAGTAGTATTAATACTGTGAATTGTTGTCAAATATTTAAATTGATTCGCGCATTCTCTTACTAATATGACAACTATATGTACAATTCTACAACTTTGCTATTTACTATTGCAACTCTGTTTTGTGATTCTAATCCACAGAACAATTAAACAGCGATCGTGGCTAATAGAGAATATCTCAATCACTGCCTATTATCTCTGTGTACTTTGATTAATTCGTGCACATACAGACGCAACCACCACAACGTTAACTATTGGCTAAATATGCATTAACGCTACACAATATTAAGGATGCCAATTACTATTATATCTGTCAATTAACTCATGCCTGCAATATCATAGAAATAATGACTGCAACATTAATTGCATAACTACGTACGCATACGAAAGTTTAGCACTGCACAATGATAAAATTACCAATGGATTATGCGTCCCGCTATTAATTCATGCGTGTTAAAAATTCATGCACTGTTAGAAATTAAGAAATAACGATATTAATTTTTTTACAGTAGGTATTGTTCTGCAAAGATAATATATGTCTACGGTGATCGTGGCCAAAATGGAATATCACAATTACTGTTAATTACCACTTAACAGGTTTGTTAACTCATGAAGATACACATAATTTTTTACATGTGTCACTAATGCGGCCAACTACAGCTATTTAATATCTACTTTTCAGTCTACAGAACAAATGAACGGTGTATCGCCGCCGACGCGGAATATCGCAATCTCTGTTAATTACTATCTCATAATTTAATTAACTCATGCGCATGTAATTTTTTAAAACGTAATGCCTGAAATGCCGACTACAGCTATTTAATCTTTTAACGTATCAGAATAATTGGACAGCTATCGTGGCCTGCGTGGAATATCGCAATCACTGTGTTTAAAGGAAAGTCCTCTATCAGGAGATAGGATTCTAATGTGAGATAGTAGGCTTTCAACGTCCAAGTTCAATCATAAATTTTTTTTCGCAACAATTACACGACCCAGCAATAAATTTTTCACTATAGGGCAATAAATTCACGGTGAAACCAACAGATGATTATTAACTATAGCTATTTCTAATCAAAATAATTACGCAGGAATTGCGGCAAAGAATATCGCGATCGCTGCCCATTAACATTTCAAATGATTCGTGCATGTACCTGTGGAGATCTGAACGCTGCGATCGCACGAAAGTCATTTAATGGAATTGTCGCATTGGCGATGTAACATACCGTACTTGTATATACCATTTTTATTCGACCATTATTAATGCTACGATTGCATGAAATTTCCTTAATAGAATTATTGATAATAAAATATATTCGTGCGCGACGTAAAGGCTGGTCTACAATACATGGAGTAAGCTGGAGTAAGGAGTAGGAGTAAGGAAATAAATCCATTTTATTTCTTACTCCTACTTCAGCTCTTAGGCTTACTGTCGGTGAATCAAAATGCCATGATTGATAGCATTTTGATTCACCGGGAGTAAGCCTAAGAGCTGAAGCAGGAGTAAGAAATAAAATGGATTTATTTCCTTTATACTCCTACTCCTTACTCCAGCTTACTCCAGCTTACTCCATGTATTGTAGACCAGCCTTTAGACTTGCTTGATACTTTTCTCAGCATTATTCATACCACATTTTATTTTCGTGCAAGATCTAGTTGCGCGAGATTCGCTTGACGAAGAACTCACCACATTTGTACTACCGACGCGATGTACCGCATGCAACGGCGTGGCTTTTCGGTTAAACACGAGTCTATTGAAGCCTCCGGTTTCTTCAACGTTGTTTAACTTGAGTCTTGGCTGGGCTCATTCCCCGTATCTTTCTAAGGCTCGGTCTTTCCAGCGGTTTCATAACTTTCGAGCGTCTGCAAAAAAGACAAAGAATGAGTTAACTAAAAGGATGCGGTCCCTTTTATGCGCATAATGCATTATTTATCCTTACTTAACATTCGGTGAATAACAATGTTAAGTAATGCATTGCGCGCATCACGCGTGAATTGATACAATATTAGATCAGTATTGCTAAATAGCCATATCGGCTGAATTAGAGAAGGCGTCCATCTCACAATACTGGACCAATATTGGGAATACTAGATTCACATTATTTCCCAATATTGCGCCAATACATTGTGCTACTAGGGAAACATAAGGCCCGGTCTACAATGAGTCGTTAGTCGTTAGTCAGAAGTCGCAACTATATGTTGATCCTTTTCCTTTCTGGGTGGAAGAAAAAGGACCGACATATAATTCCGACTTCTGACTAACGACTAACAACTCATTGTAGACCGGGCCTAATAATTGACTTAAATAAGCCTTAGTGTGCACTCAGTGCGCACTGGTGCGAGCAATCAAATTCGCTATAACGTACTTCTGACTAACGACCAACAATTCATCATTGTAGGTCGGTCCTTAAACCAACAATAAGGTCGAAGTTAGGCGACGTTGGCGAAATCGGGCGAGTGGCCGCGGTTTCGCAGAAACCCAGAAATCCGCCACTGAATTACCTCAAAAAGTTGACCGCGGCGTGTCCGCTCGCTGGAGCATTGTCGCGAATCGAGCGATCGATTTCGGTTCGATCGCCCTGCGATAGAAAGAGGTCGCGAATCGTGCGATCCATTTCGGTTCGATCGCCCTACGATAGAAAGAGATCGCAATATGGCGCGCCGGCCGAGAATCGGGACGCGGGCTTGCAGTCGCGGAAGCGCCGTTAATCGGGATCGCCCGAACCTCGGCCGCGCGTCACAACGACGCCCGGCGTCGCGCGCGACACTCCCGACGTCGATTCGCACGCGAAACGCACTTTTACCTGGCAAAAATCGCGAACAACGCGTGCGATTTCACAGCGACCGTTCCCGTGCGGTACCGCGTACAATATGGCGCGCCTGCGCGCCACTCGTAGCAGTTACGGCCGCGCGCGAAACGATCTCGAATTCAAATGCACCTGAAAGTTAACGGCGGAAATAATTGGCGAATACGCCTCGCTGGCGTGTGTCGCGCGCGAGAACGTTGAAGCTACTGTGTGGCGACTTGCAATTGTGCAAGTTCCAGATAGAAATTGTCGTAATTTGTAGAGAATTTTTACGCGGCAAAAGCTTGGGCGCACGTTGTAACCGACGTGGGATATAGCGGACACTATATTATCAACCATGACGAACTACAATTTTTCCAGGTGCCCGTTTTATACTTGTGGCAAAAACTTTCTGATTAGATTAGATCAGAAAGAAGCCTGAGAGCTGCTACGGCCCGATTTTGCGTAAAAAAACAAAGGTTAAAAAAATTACTTTGACTTCTAATTGAGATGTTTCGTATCTATTTGCGCCACGTGTTTTAGAATCGTTTGTAGTTGCTTCTAGTGATTTTCCCGAGGATTTTCCTCTCATTTGTGGTCGAAATAGTTTGAAAGTTTTGCAATAAAAGATCGGTCGATAACCAGCTTTAATTGCAGGATTACAGATGTCGCCCGATGCGTCGCGATGCGTCTGCTAACGCGCGCGCGACCGCGCGTGCGCGGAAATGGTCCCTCCATCTGGCAACGTTTTCCAGCAGCGTCACTGTACGCGCGGCGACTCGGAGGCAGACAAAAATCCATATTAAAATGGAGGAGAAGAGCCAGGCCGCGGAGCGAGAGGCCAAGAAGGATGAGGCCCACGAGAAGGACGCGCGGAACAAGAGGTACGTGGCAGACGATCGCCTGGTGCCGCCCGGGGCCCGCGGATCCGCTTCCGGCCGCGATCGCGACCAGGCTCCGCCTCGCGTCTCGCCGCCCCCCCGTCTTAACCTATATTCGGCCCGCGAGTAATCCCGAACCGCGGCCACGTAATTCTCGGCGGTTTACCCGGACGATTTTCCGCTCGCGGACTCGGCGTGGAACGCGAGGCTTCCCTTCGCCATTCGCGATTTCGATTCTATTCGACGCGACCTCTTCGCGCCCGCTCGTCCGCTCCCATAAGCGGCTTGCAATCGCACCATGTAATTCCGCTGTAATGCGTCGTCTACGATGCGTGGAGTAAGCCTGGGCGTAAATAGTAAAGGCCTTTACACATAAAATTCCGTAAGGACGTAAAACGCAAGCATAAGAAAATCGACCAATCACAGTCGAGAACGTCTGGCAATAACGCAAGCAGTGGCAAATCCAATCTGTTGATTTTCTTACGTTTGATTGCTTACGTTTTACGTCCTTACGGAATTTTATGTGTGAAGGCCTTAAGAAAGAACCGTAACATTTAGCTTTTGGTGTAAGGTAGCTAAAATACAGACATAATTTAAAAAATATTTGTAACACTGGACGATGGCGTTCCAATTCGCCGAGAGGAAGTTTTCAATGTCTAACGTTACCGCGCGTATCCGCTGCGCTTAGCTTGAAAGTTATATCCGCGTGGCGTTGAGAAACTTGCAATTTATTCGCAGCTCCAAGAAGAGAGAAGCTCGGAAGAAAAAGAAAGAGACGGCGCACGCAGCTAGTGAAAATCATAACAATAATAAGGAGGATAAGGAGATGCCGAGCGCGTGCAATATCTCTATAAAAGATATCCAGATGGCAATGGAGGTATTCAATATGCAACAGAAACCTGCCAAAACTCAGGAGGAAGCAATGCAAAAGCCTTATCAATTTTGGAATACGCAGCCTGTACCGAAAATGGGTAAACTGTCAAGTCACGTAGAAGAAAATGTTACATTATCGTTATAATTTTCCTAAACTAAATGCTATTGGTTTCCAGATGAGAAAATTGTCCGCAACGAGCCAATTGAGCCCGACAAGACCTCTGTTAGAGCGGAGCCGTATTCGCTACCTGCCGATTTTCAATGGGACACTTTGAACCTGGACGATCCTCTGGTCTTGTCGGAACTGTACACATTACTCTCGGAGAACTATGTCGAAGACGACGACGCAATGTTCAGATTTGATTATCCCCCGGACTTTTTGAAATGGGCGTTGCAACCTCCTGGCTGGTGCAAGGAATGGCACTGCGGCGTGCGAGTGAGCAAGAGCGGACGTCTAGTCGGTTTTATTTCCGCTATTCCAGCTACTTTACGTGTCTACAGTCAGTGAGTATCGTATGCCTGCGTAATTATCCCATTTCGCAACGTAACGTTTCCTAAAAACGCCTTCAGCTCCCAAAAGATGGTGGAGATTAATTTTCTGTGCGTGCACAAGAAGCTGCGATCCAAGAGAGTAGCACCTGTGTTGATACGTGAAATAACAAGGAGAGTAAATCTGAAGGGTATCTTTCAAGCTGTGTACACTGCCGGAGTCGTTCTACCAAAACCTATCGCGACGTGCAGGTCACTATCGAGAAATATACGAGAATCTATTCCCCTCGGTCAACTGTAAATTAACCGACATTTACGTATCAGGTACTGGCATCGATCGTTAAATCCAAAGAAATTAATTGACATCAAGTTCTCTCATCTCACTCGCAACATGACGATGCAGAGAACCTTAAAGCTATACAAACTGCCAGAGAACACGAAAGTACCGGGCTTCAGGAAGCTGGTTTACACGGATATACCACAAGCGCATAAGATATTAACGGAAGTAAGTGTAAGACAGAACTTCTCCATACACTTGCTCGTTACAACATCTATATTCATATTATTCTTACAGTATCTAGAGAAGTTCGATCTCGCTCCAGTATTCTCAGTCGAAGAGTTTGAACATTGGTTTTTGCCGCAAACCGGCATTATTAATAGCTTTGTTGTGGAGAAGGAAGGGAAAATCACCGATATGGTGAGTTATTATACATTGCCGAGCTCCATTATGCACCATCAGACCCACAAGACCCTTAAGGCCGCGTATAGTTTCTACAATGTGTCTACTACAACGCCATGGCTCGAACTAATGATGGATGCCTTGATATCAGCGCGCGATGTAAGTTCACTTATTATTTCCTACATTTACCGCACTTGTTAAATAAGAACCGAATGTAACATAGTCTTTATTTGCAGTTGGGGTTTGATGTATTTAATGCGTTGGATCTCATGGATAACAAGGAGTTTTTAGAGCCCCTCAAATTCGGGATTGGCGATGGCAATCTTCAATACTATCTATACAATTGGCGTTGCCCCAGTATGACACCCGGCAAGATTGGTCTTGTGCTCCAGTAGACTTTTTAGTTCAGAGAATCGCTGTATAAAAAGAAAAAGAAAGAGAAAAGATCTTTTGCATGTTTGGTCTCGAAAGAGAGAAAGAAATATTGGTTAAGTATGAGCGAACAGGAGACGTGTGGCAACGCATTAAAGAATGGCGTTGTTAGACGGAGATAGGGCAACCTTGATCTTTCTTACCAATAGGACTACGTAAATATATTTATAGCGGTCGAAAGGTATCTGAGTTTTCTTGTAGGATCGAGGACCGAATGGATAACTCAATCCCTCGAAAATCGCTCTTGTTTTTGTCATTGGCGCCTTTAAAGATTCTAGATTGGATTATACTTGATCGCGGGATTATTATGGAAATTGTGCATTGTACAGCGCACGTGTATATACGTATCTGCGTAATTCGAACAAATGTAGATAAGCATTATGCAACTAATAGCAATTGTGCGGGAAGCCATCCCGTAATCATCTGAGGATTTTCGATTTCTAATCATGTAAGCCATTAGACGCCAGGTAAACTTCATCCGTTTTTCCTTTACACTTTTTCGGCTAATTAGACATCGTACGCCGGAATGTGAGTGACAGGCGAGTTAAAAATAAAATAACATTTATTGAAAATAATTACTTCCCACTTTCTCTTACTATTTCTCACGTTTTTTCTTCTCCCCATTAATTTCATCCACGTGAAATAAGTTGTTTTTATTCTCAACAGTGTTTTTCACGCTGTTCATTATTAGCAACCTATATAGCGTCTGTAGAACTCGGAGTTATATAACCCAGGATTCGTCCCTAGTTCCGATTAGATACGTGGTAACAAAACACATGTAAAGAAACCAGTCTCGAAATGTCTAAAAGAAAAACAGCCATTTGATTGCAGTATCAAACGTATTTCTTTAACCTCGTTTTAAGAAATTAATAGATCTGATAAAAAGAATAGGGTGTGTGCTGCATATACATATACGCGCGCGCACACATACGCACAATATATGAGTGTTTTTTGTTTTTTCAAGAAAATTACACAGTGCGATCCCGACAAAAAAACCCAAGTTCTACCTCGCAAAGTTCGCATGTGTTTGCAGAATAATTACGTCGCGCGTTATATGAATTTTCTTTTTTAGTAGAGGAAAAGTGATATAAAGGATTAATTTTCACATTTTATATGCCCCAAGACACCAAGGTTGCGCAACGGTATCCTTTTTATCATCGTCGTGAGTATCGCGAGCATACCATCGTGTTACAGACTGGCGCACGACCGACGCGCAAGGTCTTTCCGAAGATAAGAGAGAGAACCTGGTGAAGTACCCGTAGCGATTAACCAGTTAAAATTTACATTTCGCTTTTATCTAAGATAGGGAGATGACGTCCAAATAATGACGGACCTTCGAGAAGTTTGCAGACCCATCGTATGTTCGAACGATCGATCAATGGCGTTGAATAGGCAGGTGGACACGGATACCGTTCTACCTTGAGCGAACATATTCTACAAACGATCGATCCAACGATATCGCTAACGATCGGCAGATACGGGCCGAGTATAACTACTGCTTGTTTACAGTTTTTTTTTCTACCCGCGCAAAATTTGCATCTAAGTATATTCAAATTTCTAGTGAAACCGATATAAACGACGGCCCTTAGTTAATGCAACGGGGCTAAACGACGGGCAGAAAAAACTGAGTCAGGGATACAATAAATGGGGGCTTGCTGTAATACCTGCGAACGTGACGTGGTTTTCTTACGAGGAAGCCAATAATAACAAGATATATGGTCTGGCAAAACTGTTATATGTTCGTTAATTTTTGTACCGAGTGCCGCGTAAATAATATCTATGCGCTAAATAATATACCAATGAATATGATAACGCTTTTTTGTGTACATGAATATTTATCAATTGAATCACTTATTAATCCACGCAGTGCTCCGACAATTTTTGTACTTTTAGATTTTTATCTCCTCTTGCAGTTTATGTCGCAAATAACAAAAAAATTATAACAAAAACATGAAACACGTTTATCAATTTTTTGCAAAGTCACGTTTTCCATTAAAAATTGTGCAGCATAAGAGTCGTTTCCGGTAATGATAAAGATAACCACGATACTTTTATACAATATTCAGGGTTGGGAAGTAACTCGTTACTTGTAACGAAGTTACAGTTACAGTTACTTTTTGTTGTGACTCTAACTTAACTTTGTTACTTTCTCTCCATCTGTAACTGTAACTTAACTCAGTTACATTTTTTCGATAACTAGTAACTAATTTAATAGTTACTTTATATACATTTTAAACCCTCACAGGTCGCATTAGGCCTTTATCGACACTTTACAATTCAACTGCAGATTTGATATTTTTACTTTCATTGCAAGAAAGTAACTACAAAGTAATGATTCTCGTTACTTTTTGAGTAACTGTAACGCGTTACTTTTCAGAATTGGTAACTTGCAACTAGATACTTTTATAGAGTAACTTTCCCAATCCTGCAAATATTTCTACCCATGGTAGTAAATGGTTACAAAAAACATATCTCTTAGTATATTATTTATTGAATTATTATTTTCTACTTTAGTATTCTTTTCTCATTAGAAATAATGTTACAATAAAGTATTTCTTGCGACTATAAGAAGCTCGAAGAAATTCCTTTTGTGGGAGGCGGCCGTCTGATCATAATCACTCGTTAACTACTTGTTAGCTCTGATCGCTTTAAAGTGACGGAAAGTTTTTCATGATGGAAACAGAAAGAAAGAGAACGTTCTTTCGCGAGAGGCTACGCGTTTCATCATTCAGGAAGCGCCTGACCAGACAGGCTCGTATCGATCTCGAGTCGTGTTAATAGCAATGTCGATAGATGCTCATCAAGCGCAATAGTTACTCGCGGGCGCTCACGTGCCCTTTGTACTGCGGCATAATAATAAGCGAGAAAAGGGAAAAAACAAGGGGGAGGGATGTGTGCAAAAAGCGGAAACGTCGAATCATCGAACAATACCCGGAGCCAGATAACACCACGAGGCGTGGACGAGCCAGAGTAGGTGGGGAAGACACGAGACGCACGATGTGGAATAAATACTGGCCTGAAATCGAGCGGAATTCAGTCGCATACTTAGTGTACTAACGACGTAAACGTCTCATCACTGTCGAAAGGTCTCGCGCAGAGACCCTTCCATTGTTTGGCACCACTATTGCCAATTCATTAATTAGTGGCGCCTCGATATCGCACAACTCCCGAAACGTTCGAACGCCAGTTTGTAATTCACCGACGAGAGGCTCGTTACCACCGAAGTTTGTGGTATCCTGCTGCGAAACTCCATCGTCCAAACGCGGACCACGGGCTGTCACGATGCTACCAGTCCGATACTCTCCGATTTTTGCCTTCGTGTCTGTCGCGGCCGCCACTTTTTTTGGGTATCTCTCTTGAAGAATGTCATGTTCCTCGATTCTCTCAAAATTGCGAACGTTATTCAGGAGCAGTTTAATTTTTATTAATAATAAGCGTATTTATTTTTATCAATAATAAAGACGTTTTATTGATGAAACGTGTTTATTATTAATAAAGAAATATAGTAAGAATAAGGAATAACATTGTTTTCATTTTCAAATAATTCGCCGACCTTCTCGCACATCTATTAGATACACATATAATTACATGTATTTTAGTTTTATCAATTTCCAAGCAATTTGTCGTCCTTCCTTGATATCTGTGAGATATGACTTTTTAAAAAATAATTTTTTAATATCTCGCAATTCCATATATTAAAATATGTATTAAATTCACTTGCATTTGTGCAAATTATATTTTTAATCGTTTCCGTCGCGTTTCCTTCTTAAATATACCGTTACGTTATTAGTGTGAGGGTTGCTAATCCAATCCTAGAAATCGTGTAAATGAGAGACATCCGAAAGGATCCGACCGAAAATATCTTATCTAATGGGTGTCATCGTCCACGCTCACGAGTCACCTCGTGTTTCTGTCCAGCTTGGGCACAACGACCCCCGGGGCAGGCAACCCGCCGCAATTCGACGTTTATTGGAACGTGCCCAGCTTTATGTGCCATCAGTACGGCTTGACGTTCGACAATCTCAGGGGTCTTGGAATTCGTCAAAATACGATGGATAGATTTCGCGGTGAAGAGATCGCGATCCTTTATGATCCCGGAATGTTTCCAGCGTTGTTAACCGATAAAACTGGTGAGTCAAGAGTGCATTTTATCACGGAAAATTGTCCATTATCCAGGAAAGACGCGTTTTGGAAGCACTTTTCAAGGATATCTGTTAATAATTCTAATGAGATAATTTCAAAATATTTTTAAAATTTTTCCAAAATTGTTTGCAACTAGCGAATTAATAAGTTTTTGCATTTTCAGGAGTCGTGACAAAAAGAAATGGCGGCGTTCCTCAAGAGGGAGATCTGAAGAAACACCTCGAGACGTTCCAGAAGCACTTGACCAAGCAAATCCCCGACGGGTCATTTAGCGGTATTGGCGTTATAGACTTCGAGAGCTGGCGGCCGATCTTCCGACAAAATTGGGCCTCTCTCGAGCCGTACAAAACCCTGTCCATAAAGCTGGAACGTGAGAGACATCCCAATTGGAACGACGGAGCCATCAAGAGGGAAGCGAAGCGTCGCTTCGAAAAGTACGGCAGAATATTTATGGAAGAGACCTTGAAGATGGCAAAGAAGCTTCGGCCTAAGGCCGCATGGGGCTATTACGGTTATCCGCATTGCTTCAATCAGACTCCTGGGCAGCGCACCGCACACTGCGACCGCCAGGCCATGGTGGAGAACGACGAGTGAGTGATACGTCCGAGGGGGATCGATAATCCGACATCTGATAGCGTTTGCATAATTTAGTATGCGTATATATGTAAGCGTGTCATTACATGGAATGTACAAATCTCGAGATGATCTCGCGATCCTCGCGGCTTAACATGATGGTCGTGTTATCGTGTCGCTTCGCCACCGCGCCGGGTAAAAGAATTTATGAGCTTAATTCACCGGCTGATTTACGATAATGACGTCATTCCGGATACAAGACGATTATGGATCGCTTATTAAGATTACGATGTTTATGCCTAAATAGGTCAATGTCAAGGATAGCAGGGCGTTAAAAAGTAACCTGCAGTTTCGTTAGCAGCGCGTTATCTAATCGCGCGAGGCGATAAAAGCACGGTCGAGCACCCGGAATATCGGTGCTAATTACGGCAATAATTTCCGTAGAATGTCTTGGCTCTTCACGCTCGAGGACACGCACTTGCCTTCCGTGTACTTGAGGCAGGAGATTAAAGAAGAGGATCGAGTGGGCTTCGTGAAGGGCAGAGTGTCGGAGGCGTTACGTGTGGCGGCGAAAACAAGTTGGTACAAACAGCAACAAATTCTACCCTATTACTGGTTCAAGTATCAAGATCGCAGAGATCACTTTTTGAGTAACGTAAGTTTTTCCAAATTTCTTTTCAAATTCTTCAAAACTAAAAAGTGTTTACGTCGACATTGGTATATCTATTCCGAGGCTTTATCTACACAGAAAGATACGGAAAATGTGTTCAGCACGATCGCAAACCTCGGTGCCGACGGCCTGATCATTTGGGGTAGTTCCGAGGACACGGATACGGAACAGAAATGCAAGGACCTGCAGCAATACGTGAGAGAGACTCTGGGACCGGCGATAAAGCGGATCAAACGGTTCTAAGCGGTGGAAGAACTGCTAATTTTTTTTTAGAAAAAATTGCACTGTCTTCAATACAAAGTCTTCTTTTTTTATTTATTTGATCGTTAATTCGCGATTGAACTTCTCACGATTCAGTGTGCTTTAAAGCGAACGCATTTACATTTGTAGATTCTTGTTGTTGCGTACCTAGCAAGATACAAGACATTTGTAAATATAAATAATTGTAGATAAAATGCCGTCTAACAAATGATTGACTTGATGGAGCCATAAATGGATATCTCGCGAGAATCTCGTGGACTAAGACGAGAGACTTTGAGGGAGGAAGAGGGAGGTTCTAGCTGCTCGGGCTCTGAATTGTCGCGGAGAGGCGGCAGCCCCCAGTGATCTCGTTAAGGTCGAGCCGCCATCCCTGAATCCTCCTCTTCATCACCTTCGCGCCACTCATCGCTCCGAGACCGGCAATTGCACGCAGCACGGTCTCTCCCGGTGTACGATCGATGAGCGCGCGATATCGGCGTACGACAAGTTTTACTGGTTCGCGGTGTAACGCCTCGGGCGATATGCTTTTTACAGTACGCGCGACGCGTTTTGTAGAGAGGTGGTAGCCAGGAGATCTCTTTCCCTTGCTCACGCGGTTGATCCGTTCCCCTCCTCGCATTCGCCTCACCGGCCCCGTCGTCCTTTCGCTCCGCTCTGTCGCACCCATGGAGAAGGTTGATGCCGAGGCGCGAGATCGACGAAGAGGGAGAACGGAACGGGAACGCGGCGCGGAACGGGAACCGAACGCGTACCGCGAGTAGAAGGAGGAGCTGAAGGAGAGAACCTGGTGGTGGAGATGGAGGAAGAAGAAGAGAAGGAGGCGGCGGGCAAGCGGGAAGAGGAGGAGAACGGAACACGAGAGATCGGCAGCACAGTTTCGTGTTCAACTTAGCTCGGTTCGGCTCTCAGCTTCGTGGTATCGGAAGCCCCCAAGTACTCGAAAAGGTCGAGGTTCTCGGTACGCACTCCCTCGAACGGTTCCGCGCACTTTGCCTCGCCAAACAGAGAAACCGGAGATATTGCGATTTCTCTCTTCCTTTCTCCCCGTCCTCTCGCGAGAGACGCGAGGTTCTTAGTCGCCCGAGCGGCGACTAGAATACCTGTTGCTCTCTCTTGTGTGCTCGCGCGAGGAAACCGGCGGCTCGTTGGTGCGCAGTTTGCGAGCGAAACAGCGACGACGAAGGTGACGTGTACACCGAGGTGAGTGACAGTTTCGCTGAAGGGAAGCCAAGGCTTCCCCGAGATCATTTCAAGCTAGATCGTGACGCGAGCCACCGCGAGCGAGCGAGCTCCACTCGCGTTATGTCTACTATATTTTCTAAGATAACGACTCTTCTCTCATCGGCTGCCCGTTCTCCAGCTGCTCCGAAAATCGCTGACTCTCAGAAAGCGAGTCTGCGTTCAGCGAGAGTTCGTCTGTCTCTTGCGAAATTCGAAGCGCATTCATTCGCGCTTGTGTCCGTATGTGCATTTATGTATATGTGCGTGAGCGCGCGTATATGTTTGGCGTACGTATGCGTATACACGCGATACCTTCGCGCCGACGACGCCCGAGCGCGTGCACGCGACAATAGACGCACTCTCATCGCTCCGGTATTCTCAATCGACATCGACGGAGGATTGTGGAAACGTCAGAAAGATCCAAATTATCAGCGTTCGATTCTATTGTGAGCGGCTGAAAAAGAAGGCTCTCTAAATACGGGCCGAGGGCTAAATATGGCTCAAAACCGTCTGCAATGCGTTTGCGCTTTCTTCTTGGAGCATTCCGAGAGCGCAGTACAATCTCTGCTACCTCCGCTTCGAGGAACGAGGAACCCAATACCAGCTGATCGAATTACGATGATCGCGGTCCTCCTCCTTCGTGGGTGAGAGGCCCGGGGACCAACTCGAGCGATACAGAAGCCTATCCAAAACGTTTCGGCCACTAATCCTAATGCTCGGACCCCTATTCCGGACTTAATGATAGCTCTTCTTAGACGCAACAGTTAAGTTCCAAGCTAAACTGTTGCGCGGTAGCGAACCCATAATCGCTTCCTTTCTAACGGAGACTGTCCACGATTGGTCCACAGCTTACAGCTACCGTTTCACTTAATTGCTCGATCTTATAGGTGTCCGACAAGGTGAGAATATTAACGTTTCGAGATTCCAAATCGTCCTCGTCGATTATCGTGCGTTGCGTATTTCTCACGGGTAAAATGTACATTAATATCTGCATTTTTGCCGTCAATAGCTTCGCTAAAACAACGAGTACATCTTCTCAAAATTATTTATCTTTCACTCTTCTTTTTTCCTCCAGAAATGTTAAAGCATTGTTAAATAATTTTTAATCAACTTTCGAAGCTTAAATGAGAAGCTTGAGAAGCGCTTTCGCAGAAGAATCGACGAAGCATGTAACTGAACATTTTTGAATAACAGCATCGATAGAAAAAGAATGGGTAATCCCTCAATTAGTTCCTCCTTGTCTTTCACGTAAACGAGGAAAGAAAGAAGAGTGCTAAAGGGGTTTTAGCCGGGCGGGCAAACTGGTCGATGGGGGGCTGGTAGCGCCAGAAGTAGCTGGCAGGCTCGAGGAAGACGAAAGGGACCGTTTTAAAGAGGCGAGCATTAAAAACAACAATGTCATTACATTTTAACGACCTGTTCTTTGGCTCTGCCCTCCCTTTTAAGAGCATTCGTTTGCAGGTATGTGGTCCGCGCTCACGGGGGCCACCACACCATGCCGAGGGAGGCCCCGTAGTATCGCGCACACGAGTCGCGTGTGCTGCGCGTACGCGGGGCCACCTCGTTGCCTACCTCCTCCACCTTCATTTCCTCCTTCCACAATTCGACGTGAAGCTAGAGCTCCGCGTCAAATGTAAACGCGCTCAAATGTTTTAGAGCAAACGTACCTTACGAAGGTACATACGTGTAGAATTTTGTCAATAAAAGAAGAACGACGATGTGCTTTAGCGCCGACGATTGGAGCATGGACAATGGAACAATTGAAAAGTTTTCCTTCGGATGCTTCTTGTAAAAAATATTTTGTATGCACAATTTGTTTTCGCAAAAGAGAAGTAGAGTAAAAAAAAACCCCCCGACATATATGAAGCACGAGCTACTTTATCACGAAGGAGTGAGGCAAAGCTCGTGTAAGTCCTCTTCCGCCTAGTCGGTCCCCATCCCCCTGTCCCCTTCTGACGGGCTCCGGTTCGTTCCCCACACGCGTTCCGGGCACGCCGTGCAGCCCGCGAAGAATTAGTATGGGCGAAGAAACAAAAGCACCAAGAATCGCGGAGGGATCAGCGACGACGAAGAAGATAGAGAAAAAAAAGGAACCGAAATGGCGCCACACGTTCAGCGTGTTTTCGGGGCATCCCCCAGTGCTGTTGGCAAACTCCTTTTTTCGGCGCCGTCCGTCTCCCTCGTACCCGCCCGTTCCTGGTTCTCCCTCTCGTACCCTGCGGGCCCTACCTCGCCTTCTCTCTCTTCTCTCCGGGTATTCTCGCGCGATCCGCACCCTCGCGCAACCGACTCCTCTCTTTTATTTCCTTACTCCTTCTCTATTCTTCAAGCTCACCCTGTACCCCTGGGCCATCTATTAGTTCGCTCACGGTATCCCAATATCTCAAAGAGTAGAAAAAAAGGAGAAGAAAATAGAAGAAAAGAGGGAAAAAAAACACGCCAGACCATGCTAACGTCCCAACGAAATATGAAATTAGGGTATGTCAAAACGGGGGGGTGGAGATTTTCATTAAAACCAATGGGAGATTAAAACCCGAGACACCTAATTATAGATATATCACTCGCCGTCATCTCTGGATCGCTCAGCCATACACCGGATCATTAAGTTCGGGAGATTGAACCTCGGAACGACCGAACCCCTCCGTCCCGGCGAAGTATTATACATGGATCGCAGATTGATCGGCGCGCATGCAACTTGGCACCAGAAGAGAAGCGGGAGTAATATTTTATTCTGCTGGACGATTTCATTACGAGAAAAACACGGTACCATCACGGCAGCGAGCAACCGCGCGACCCCGTACGCAGAATTGTGCGGTCTATGTCGCTTACACCGACCTATGATGGCCGATGCTGAAGAGAACGCTGGCGAAGGCGGTTTGCGCGGAGAGGGAATTGATCGTAGAAGAAACTAGTATGGCTTCGATTAACATACGAGAATGTATTACCGCTTAAGGACACTTTCCACTATGAATGATAGACGAATTTTAATTTCTTGTTTTCTCCTGCCAGCCCTTTTGACATACTCGAAGCATAACTGTAGATAGCGAGTGGCGTGCATACTTGTAAAAATGTGGTATTTTTTTTTTTTTAAATAATTATTAGAATGAGAAACAGCAGACAAGTATCATGCGACATTGCGTTCATGAAAAATCTCTTTCCATTGTAAAACACGCGTAAGAGCAAAAAGTCGCATTGGCTTTCTTGCTGCTGACATCATCGGTATGCATAGCTAACTACGCTGTCTTGACGTTTCAGTTCCCTACGATCTAGTATCTAACGCTAAAGTACTCGTGATACGCATCGCGCTTTTATAACGACGCGACGCACCATCTCGTCGAGCGCCGCGCTGTCGACGGAGGATAGACGAAGAAGAATCAACGATCAAGAGGATCGATGGAAAACCGTCGGAGATTTCGATGGGGCACACATATGGGCGGACAGGCGCGGCACCCTTTGTGCTGCCACCGCCTAGGCTCGGGGGCGCGTCAAATTTGCTTGAAAATCAAATTAATCTCGCGGCTGGGCGCAAGAGCCTCTCTCTCGCTTCATCTCTCTTTCTTCGCTTCTATCCTATTGCCTTTCTACTCCCTCCCAACGCGCATCTCTCTCCCTCTCTCTCTCTCTCTCTCTGTTTGTCTGTCTTTCGCTTGCTCGCTCGCTCGCTCGCTCTGGCTCTTACTCTTGCTCTTGCTCTTGCTCTTGCTCTCTTCATCTTCTCTCGGTATCTCGAGGACACGAGCAAATCGAAGGCACGGGACCGAGATGGAGGCGAAGAAGGAGGTGGGCCGGAGGTCCTCCGTGCCACCGACACGGACCCAGAGGCGAGAAGAGAAGGTGGCGCAGCAACAAAGAGCTTTGGACTTCTGGCTGTGGCCATTGCAGGGCCGTAGCCATCCTATGTTGCGGAACGTAGAACTTGAAGTGTACATTCGCATTTTAAAACAATATAATACAAGGCGTGTTGTAACAGATAAATTTGGAACAGGAAAGAAAGGATAGAAGACTACTTCCGATTTATAAAGAAGCATCGATCGAATGTAATCTATGCAATTGAATTTATAAACTTTGTAAAAATATATATAAATTTAATTAGATCAATTAGATCAAAGGAACATTTAATTTGATCGATTACCGTTGATATTGTCAATTGTAACTGTTTGGGAAATATTGAACGATATTCCAAAGTGCAAGAATAATCGAATTATAACTAAGTTAAATATTTCACATAGAATTTTGTCAAATTCAAATTTCACTAGCAGTGCTAGAGAGTTAACTTTACTTTGGCGCATATATTGATTTTACTAAATGTACGTATTTTACTGTAAAGTTACATTTAACACGTAGGGTGCTTATAAATCTATCAAGGCAACGATGATCTTGTAATTTCGGAAAAGTTACTTCTCGAAAATGCCAGTGATCGTTATTAGTCATTGAATCTTACTCAAGTACGTCCCTGCTGCATCCTATTCGGTCATTCAAATCTCCGCTCGTAGAAATGAGACGGGCGGCCGCGCCGTGTTGCCCCACACCTCCGCGGCCTTAAAGTATACAGGGTGATTCAACAAGAATTACTCGAGAGGCCTAATTTTTGAAACGTGATACGTTTCTTCGGATTTCTCAAGTTGCATTCTGTAAACAGGATCCCAAGCAAGAATAAGATTTAGGTCCTTGTGATAGGATAAATGCACTAGTATTAATGAAAAGAAAGGAAGAAACTATCTCACGTTTAATAATAATTATTTTGTTAAAAAATAATAAAATATGGAAAAATTACTCGTTATTTTTTCACTTTATACACTTTCTTTTCGATTATTTCTGATATTCTAAACGACTAACTTCTCTCAAATTCACAAAATCGGCCTGCAGCCCTGACTGCACTGTAGTTCTTAGAACTTGCAATAAAAAACAGAAGAACAAGGAGATTCTACGTGAGAATAAAGAAGGACGAAGGGTTGTGTGCGTTGCGGAATGAAGAAAAAGATCTTTCCTGTGAACCGAACGCATTCATAGGACTGGATGGATATAGTGGAATAGGAGGAAAAAGAGGAGAAGAGAGGAAGAATGAGCAGAAAATGGAGCGACGAAGAAAGGCAGACGGATAGAATCGAAATCGAAATGCATCGTGAGCGAGGCGGCGGGAGACGAAAAATCGATCCTCTCTCTGGAAATGCCGGCGACCAATTGTCCGGCGAGGGACAAGATTCTTGCCGTTGTCAGGAATTCAGCTCGCGAGTCCCGTCCCCGACGAGGACGTGAATCCTTCGAAGGACGGCGCGAGTATCCATGCAACATCACGAGATTTCTCGATTTCCTTGCTCCTTTTTTCCGGTGCAACCGAAAAAACAACGTGGTCCGCGTAATTGGAATCGCATCCTCCTGGTTCAACATTCGTATCAATGTCGCCGTGATTGGTTCGAGGAAGATTTAACCCTTAATAAATCGAAACATTTATAACACCCGTATTTAAAGTTTCTTGATATTAGATAGATAAGAATTTATTTATTCAAACGTATATGTTTGTCGTACATTTTAATAGTTATTTTTATTTGCCCTTTTTCGCTTCTCTTTACGATTGTCATCATTTATGTAACTTTTTATGTTTAAATCGTACTAAAAAAAACCAGATATAAACGAGGTATATATAAATTTCCCTCTACTTCTCTTTCATATCGGCAAACTCTTTGTATTTGCAAAATGTTGATCTTCATTGTTTTCACTTTGTTGTATTTAAATGGGGAACACGTTCTTCTATCTTTTATCTTTCAGGCGCCACATCCTCTGGCTTTAAGAAATATATACACCGCCGGAAGGAGTGCATCGCGTTCTCATGGCTAGTGCCTAAAATCCGCCGCTATTTATGGCGGGGACATCCACGACGAATTCTCTCGCCTGTGCGCCAAGCTCTGAGGAAACACTAACTTCCTTTATCTCGAAATCTCGGAAAGTTAAAATTCGAGCATGCCACATTGAGATCGAAGATCAGCCTTAACGATCTATGAATGAAACACGTCGCGCCATCACCCAATAACGAGAACCCGTTCCTTCGTTTGGCGCCGAAACGAGCGGACCATAACTTTCGACGCGTCTTTTTACGGATACTTGGAGGTCGCACGCGAGCCATCTAATTAATTTCTCAGTGGCCAATGTAATTTATTTGAATGCTATCTTTCCGTCACTTATACGCCTAACAATTGCTTTGAGAGACCAGTAGTTAAACATCTCTCAACGACTTTCAAATCTATACATACGTATGTTCCTCGCCGTCAATACGATAAATATAATGATAGAGGAAAGTCCCCTATTATGGGATAGCGGAGTTTCTGTTAAATTAATAGGCATCATCTGTTGGTTCTACCATGAATTTATTGCCCTTGGAGTGAAATCTGTTTAGTGGAAAATTGATTGTTGGATCGTGTAATCGTTGCGAAAAAAGATTTGTGAATGAATTTGGACGTTGAAAACCTACTATCTCATATTAGAATCCTACCTTATAATAGTAAATAGAGGACTTTCCTCTATACAAAGAATTATAAGTATTACGAATGTACACAAAAGTAGGAAGAAATAAATAAGGCGCAGTATCGTACTGATAAATCTTTGTGTACAAGTTCAGTTAGTCAATGAACCCGAAAGTCTGAGCACGCTATCTCAACGGCTTCAGATGACATCATCGATTCGGAAAAATAATCTTTCAAATACTTAGCATACTCGGATAAACTTCAGTGCTTCCATCGATTCGTAGAAGAGATTAAAATTCACGTTGAAGACCGAGTCTTTCTTCCTTTCTCTCCATTTTCGTCGTTGCAAACAATTTCGCAAGCATGATCGAATCTCCCGTATCTTCAGTCGTAAAAAAATAATATTGGCCAATCTTCTAGATATCTTAATTATTTTATTCCTTGTTTAACTGAATTATAAGGATTCGATTATCTTGTATTTTTTTTGTACTGTTTCAGGAATCATGGGGACGATATGGCGGCTGTTCGCGATGACACTCCTGTTAATGATGCATTCCGCTCTGCTCAGTGCTCATCGTGAACACAAGGTTCGTCTTCGCTCGTTAACATTACCTTAAAATTATCCAATCCATTTGTGTACTGAATGTATTTTCTTTTATTAAAATTTCTTGAAATAATATTACTTCGTGAAATAACTCCTTGTACGTTATTCAATCTACTTTTTAGATTAAACTAATAAATAATATACAATGTTTTGTTAGGTCCACAACATCGTGCTGTATCCTGATAAGCACAGCTGGTGCAAGACAACGCCTATAAAGCAAGTGGTGACATGGCCTCAGTGTTCTTCGCAGGAATTGGACAATAACGTATGCGTCGGCGCTTGTTTCTCATACATGGTTCCTCACAGCGAACCCTCCGCACCCGGTGATCTTATAAGACCTTATTGCGACTCCTGTCAACCACTGGATAGCGTTTGGCATACCGTGAGTCTATCAATGTGAAGATTGTGAGTTTTTAAAACTCAACGATCAATATTTTATTTCATAAAAGTCATATTTCCTCTCTGTTATTTGCAATAAATAACTTATATACGTGAGAATATAGTTATCGCGTTTATTAAAAAAATATTCAGCTCTTATCTTCTTTATCTTAGTAACCTTGATCAAATTAATCGATTAAGTCATAATAAAGTTACATTTTATTACGAATTGTATCTTTGAAAGTATATGCAATTTATAATAGTTTTTTATACTATTTGAGCCATAAGTTTGATAAAAATCAAATTACTGTAATGTACAAGTTAGCAAAATTTTGTAAACATTGCAAAGTATGTGATTTCTTTGATGTACTCTTATTTGAAATTATTTCGTTATTCTCAGGTTACACTAGATTGCAAGGACGAGCAGAATAATCCAGTGACCATGCAAAAGAAGGTGCAGATCATCACAAACTGTTCCTGCAGTTCCTGTATGGAGACCTCGAAGATCAAGCCGGATTACAACACCTTGCTGCAGTCTCTGACGGAAGAGAACTTGGACAAGAATGTGAACGTGGCGCACGAGACACCCGATTTATTGCTGGATCCGAACTTGAAAGCCTCGAAGAACACGACGAGAGACGGAACGCAAACCAGCGAACGGTTACTCCAGCTCGTTCAGAAATTGAAAGACTCGCAGAAAGGACTGGACGAATCACGTGTGAAGGAATTGTTCTCTAAATCCGAGGGGGCGGTCGGTTTGGAGAAACTGAAGGAGGTGTTAGAGACCAAGTACGATCAAGAGATTGAGGAAGGCCAGCATGAGCATCATCATCAGCACCAGCACGAGCATCAGCATCAGCATCAACAGCAACAACAGCAGCACCTCCATCGCGGACCGCATCACTCCCTGGTACTGGACTCGGATGTGAAGGAAAAGATCGATGTGGAACCGCATTACTTGCATCCCGCCGTCGCTGGACAGGAGATCAGTTACCACGACAACATCCTGGTGGGTAAGGAGAAGAAGAAGGATTTCTAGGCCCATCGAAGCGGAATTCGTCATTGCACGAGTGTCGCCTTCGTTCGCCACGCTCGCAAAAATTTGCAGTAGTCGGTTGAGATTTATAGATACATTGATAAGCGAACGATTGGGATACCTAGTCTGCTATCTGATTTTAATTCTACGTATTTATTTACGTGGCGATAATTGGATCGTGAGATATTAATTGTTGATATATTTATTGATAATTATTTTTACAAAATTACATGATAATGATTTTGTACATTTTTATACTTGTTTGAGCAAGAGGAGATAGAAATCTCCTTTATATTTCATATTTTATAGCTTATCGTACAAAAAAATGGCATGTGAATTATTATAAAAATAAATGTAAACCCAATGTTTCGAAATTAATTCTATCGATATTGAAGGTGAAAAAATAATCACAGGAGCGTGCGTGAGAAAGTGGAAAGATTGGAATGGGAGAAAATTCTAATATATATTTAATTGTTATTATGTTAATTAATTATTTAAATAGCTGCATAACAATCGGGACGTTTACTCGACTTTAAGCATACGGAGTGACGCTTTAGTGAGATATATATCCCGATAAAAATATATAAATGATACTCTCGAGTCTGAATGTCTCGATATGACATCGACCTCTACGACATATGCATTGTATTATTCTCTTTAGAGAATAAAGACCATCATGGTCAACATTCACGCCTTCTCAATGAGACTCTTGCGAACGTTCTTCCTCCATTTTCATGGATAGTCTTTACTTCCTTTTCACGTAAAATATACTTATTATAATATTAAATATATTGCGCTACGTTATACTTCAAGAAATCTTTTCATTCAACGAATCTTCTCATTCTTTTTATTTCCTAGTACTTATTCCTCGCAATTATTTTATGTTATGAGAACTTTCGCATTACCTATGTTTTTTCAACAAAAATAATCTTTATTTCCATTTTGTTTCTCTCACTGTGCTTTAATTTCAGACAATTTCCTCTATACTTGTACGTATGTAGGTAAACTAGTAATATTTTAGAAATAACTTTTCATTTAGATTGGTGTACAAACCAGGGACTTTTCTGTTTGCACACTGTATTTTTGACATCATTATAAATAAAATAATAGAGAAGCGTTACACAAAATCTTTACAAGAAATTCGTAAATAACGTAATAAAGGAGTTACTTGTCAAAAGATATTTGGATAACCACATAGAGATTATCTAATTTGTACACTATTGTACAATTGCACAAAAAAAATTTGGTTGCATTAATTAGAAATCTAGTAGATTCAACCTGTCTGTTAGAAAATGGACGAATCATAATTTCTTTAGGATTTACTTGATGTGTAGTGAAGTCTATCAAACTTCTGGTTATGAAATATCGAGCCCTATCGTGATAACTAACAATTCTGTTCGATTTAACCAAAATACGTTCTTTTATACATGTCTTGTTAATACAATCATAGTATTGGTCTCAGTGTATTGACAAAATTGAGAAAGATAACGTACCGTTTATACGATAAATTGAACGTTCAATAATAAAATCTTAGCTAAAGATAAAACTTTGATCAATTTAGATCAGAATCGTAGATATTTTTTTAATTTGCTATTTAGATAATTGTGAATAAACTATCTTTAGTATGTGCTCGCGAAGTTTTAATCGCGAAAAAATTTCGGCGGAACACGATTTCGAAAAGTTTCAACCATTATCGTACAGTGGATCTAGATCGTTAACAAATCGACTAGCAAGAGAGTGTGCGTCGTAACGATACATAACGATAAGAGGCAACGACTTTCGGCCGATGGTGGCGGTAGTACTATCTGGTCTGATGGAAAGAGAGTGATCGGCGGCGCGGTATATCGTGCTATATCGGCAAGAGCGCAGTGTCGTCCGATGCGCCGTCGCGCGCCGTCGCTTTCTCGATCGCGCGGCCGCGAGATCGCGATCGAGAAACGCTCGTGTATCGGAGATCTGCCGCGACAGGTTTCCGATGAGGTGACGGTGGACCTGTCAGACCCAGCGCGATGCATAGAAACCATTTGGTTTTCGACTACTTCTGAGATTCTACATTCCATAACTATTCCGAGTAACGGGAATTACCGTATTACTCTTTCGAAACACGAAATAACGTAGCGCATGGACGGTGCTTATTGTTTAGGCGTTCTAAACATCTAAAGTGTAACCAGAATCAACTTTTGTGAACGGTTGGCGGATTAAAAAGGAAATTCTTACTCTTACGAAACTTGTTATATTTTTTCTACTCGGAGTCACTTAAGATTGGATTAGGATTGCGAAAGCAGTTTCGCAAACACAATACGGCAAGAAGTGCAACATAATTGTGAAAACAGTGTGTATATCCACCTCGCAAGGAAACAGATCGCCGAGGACCACGAGAAAACTCACAGCATTTCACTGTTGATCATCGTACGACAGCAAGATGGGAACAGCAAATGGTAAGACTTCCCAAGATCGTTTATCCAAGTATGAAACTGAGACGTGATTTATGAGACGAAAGATTAGTCTCGTTATCCTTGTCAAACCGTCTTGTTGTATCGACAGTTCGCTTCGTTCGTCAATATGCGTCCGGTTATCGGCCTCGTGTCTGGAATCCTTAACAGGCTAATATTACGTATAGTTAGCGTTTCAGTAACACCAATTAATATTTAGCACTTTCACCGTTTTGACCTTTCAATCTTTAGAATTGCACAATTCTGTATCGCAACCACCTGTAAGATTCTCCAAGGTAACTACAGATTTCACTCGACGGATAATTCGAACAATCGTCAAATATGAATTTTTTATAATATTATATTATAATATTATATTATAATATTATAATAAAATATTATAATAAACCTGAGACTGTATGACGAAACAATCTAAAAGCAGGATATAACGTAATACACATTGTCGCAGTTTTCGTGAGAGGAATGTGTTGACACAATCATTTCAATTACATTTCGACCATTTGCATGTAATTTTCTACGCCAGTTTACAATATTATCTAGAGTAATTAGGTAATAATAGCGGGTTATGCTCAAGGTTTCTAAAAGAGGTATTAGCTTGAAAGAAGAAACACGATAAGCGTCAAATACTGGAGTCATATTTTTGCAAAAAAATGCAACGATACGGTAGTACTTATAATCTGTTTATCCAAGCATAAATCAAAGCACATACGATTTATGAGACAAAAGATTAATCTGGTTTAACATCGTTTGACGTAAAGCGCGTATATAGTTTATGAAACATTACATAAATATTTCTATTCTATTCTCCCCCACCTATTCTCTCTTAACGAGCGAGCTTTTAGAAAAAGTAGAGTTAACTGGTCATACAAGATTCGTGGCGTAGCATGCGTATTTACATCAATCATGTAATCTTACATAACCGGCAACTCTATTTTACATTTTAGAGTTGATTATAGCGCGACAACGAGGCAGGGAATGTATCTTTATAAGTGAATGGAAATGTTTGTCGATAATCTAAAAATAATTTAAATACGCCGATCGAGATCGTATCTCACGATCAGCGTAATGTTCTCTTAAATTAAAAGCTAGATATTATTATCAGCAAAATTTACACACAGTGCACATTTAAATTGTGCACTGAGAAAAATATCCCAGCCTATCTAATCGGATAACCAATTACATATTAACAAACGAATATATTTAAATTAATTGTATATCCGACGAAATATAATCGGGTTTGCGATTATATTTCATCGGTAACGTATGCGCAATATGTGCATAATTTAACCGGAAAACTTAATCAGAAAAACCGATGGTTAATTTTCCATCGGAAACACTACTTAATCGATTTATCCAATGGAAACTTTTCTGTGTGCAAGTTTGAAAATGTATTTCTAAAAAAGGTATGCAAAGTGAAAGATATTTAAAATTGCAAGTTTTAACATAGCTGCTCATATTTAATTGTACGAAATCAAGTCGAATCGAAACGAAACAACAAATTCAGCTGGTAACATTGTCCTCGACCTCTGCACCGTTTAAAGTCGCGACCGTTTAGACAAAAGTAATATTGCTCAATTGCTAACGATGTCTCATTCAACATTTCGACGTTGACGAGTCTTTAATTCGGTTTAGCGCTTCAATTAAAGAGACACGCTAATCGTTATCTCCATCCAGAAGTTTATCCACTCCGAGAAGTGCCCTTCGACGAAAACGTATCCTCTTGCTTTCACTTGTTTTGTTACTTGCTGTTGTGCCCCGCGATAAAGTCCACTTCTCACATATTTCATCGATTAATCGCTGGTTTATCGAGGATTTTGAATGCCCCGATAATAATTAGCGCGAAGGGGTTATTAGCGAACAAGGGCGATCTTATGTGTAGATAAGCGGTAAGATACAAAGAGATAACTTTATCGTTATGATTTCACACTTTCGTGTAACTTTGTACGAGCATAAATACTCATAGAGCTTCTTATCTGTTTACTGTGAAAAACGATGCAGCAGCAAACACGAGTACATCTGCCGTGCACGTTTAAAAGTGCTTAGTTTCCAATATTCTTTTCTTTGCGATATCTGCGATTAATGCGATTATAAATATCAATAAAAAATTGTTAAAATTCTCGTAAAAGTTGAAAAGAAAAATTTGTTAATGAAAATTTGAAAGGTATAAAATATCAAGAAATTATTACTAACAGTAATATAATAGAAAACAAATGTAATAGAAAATGTAATAGAAAATACAATAATTTAAACGCAAAAATACATTGAATGAGAAAATGTATAAAATTTGCATTGTTAAATGCCTTTAAGTAAGAGTTACTTCGAAATTTGATGGCATGTGCGACTGACAATAAAAAATGAAGGTTTTTAAATGCTCGGGATTGGGAGCACGTGTTGTTAGGGCAGCGATAAGTTAGCTAAAATGAGGTATAGACCACGAGGGTCTGGCCGTTCGATATTCCAACGAAGAGACCTCATGGGGCGCGCGGGAACGAGAGGGAAATAGCAGACAGAAACAGCAGGCGGGAGCCAAAGTAAAAGACGAGGAGACCAAGTTTGATCGGTGTGATCAGCAAGGCCCGGGTACGGTATATGGACATGTAAAAGAATGTATACCTGCGACCGGAAGTAGAACAATGACGTAAGGGAAAGTTGATGACTTAAAGCAGGGCCGTAATTAACGAGAACGGTGAACGGAGGAAACTCGGTCGCGTCGGCGCTAACGAAAAAATGAGTCATGGTCGGCATCGACGATGATGTCGACGTTCGTCATCGTTATAAGTTGAGCAGCTGATGGTAGGGGAATCCCAGGTACGGCTACACAAGGACAGAAACCGAAGGAAATGCGACGCGTGCTCAAACTTGCAGATTTTGCAAAGTGTCTCTTGCAGATGAAGCAAAGATCACGATTGAAAATAATTGGGAGGAAAAATGATGAAGCAAAGTACCGATTCTTAATTACGCTTCTCCGTTACCGTGGCACTTGAGAACTTATCTACGAATGACAGAGAGAGAGAGAAATATGTTAATCTCAATTTATCCGAAACGACCCACGAAGTGTCATAAAAGATAAGGAGTGCGATTTAAGTGAGAATAGTGCTCCATAAAGGCAGAAAGCGCTACGATCTTAAAAGATCAAAGGGGTATTGCGAGCGATAAAAATTGCGATAAACTTGTAAGATGTAAGCCGTATATTTTGAAATGCGGTCGATATTTGTCAAACGATAACTATTGCAGTTATGGACGGCGTGTGAAACAACATTGCATGTGATAATTGGCGCGGTAACTTGAATTCTCTAATTCGACTGCGCGGTCGGTTCTACGGAAACGAGGCGCACAAAAACGTTAGATAAAAGTTATCTAGTGTTTGCCTTCATAAACCGGTGATTGATCGCATTCCTGATGATGCGCGAAAGCGCCGCGCAGCTAGTAGATGTTTAGTTGTGTCCCTGCCGGAGCATTGAACCCCGTTCAACTCGAGGCTCTACCGAGGCTCGACAGAGCGCCCCATTTAGACACGTTCCTGTAGCCGAGTTTGCCACGACTCAGGGCGCAAGTCTTCCTCTCGGTCGGTCTCTGTGCCAAGCAATTTATTCGATTCGCTCACGTTCAGAGACTGGTCGCAATCCGGAGCAGCTAAAATCCCGGCTCTCTGTCGCGTCGTGTACAACCGCGTGCTCGTCGGTGTTTCACAATGAAGGAGGTCTCCTCCTGGTGAAGTTACGGTCAGCAAGTGACATCGGTCGATCAGCGTTGACGAGGAATTACTGCGCAGCCAACCAGCTAAGCAGCCAGTCAGCCTGGCCGGAGTCGGCAATTTCGGAGCTCAAGTCCGAAACGACGGCGCCGCGCCGCCATTTTAGCGCGAGCACGTTTTCGCAAATTGCCTTGTACCCGCACGCGGCACGTTGCGGAGAAGGGTTTCGGAGTCTGAGGCGGGGAACGATCCATCTGCGAGGCGCAGCAGCCCGGTGCGGTGGCGGCAACACCACGAATGAGCGCCGCGTCGAGAAAACACCCGCGCGCAAAGTGATTTCTCGCAGGAGAGTGGCGTTTTCTTTTCCGTTTCCTAATTTGCGGGCGATCGAGATCGGGACGTACTATTGCGCACCAGCGGCAACGTATACCGGCGCTATGAGTAAAATGTTGGACACAAACTATCGCACTGTGTTCTCTGTACTTAGAAGTCCCGAGGAGAGTGAAGAGTTTAAGCGGATCATCTGAAAAAATCGCGTAGCGCAGGAGAAGCCGTCGTTTTTCCGCGAGGACGATCGTATTCGCAAAGAAAGTGCAAAATCTGTTGGTGTTCGGTGTAGCGAAGTCCTTCTCCTCCTATCTCTTCGTTCGTCACACGTATTTTTCATTGTCAAGAACTGAAACGTCTCCGCTGACGTAATCAATGATCTATTAATAGACCCGTGATTTCGAGGAACGGACTGATTCTTGTAATATCGCGCAACTTGTTTCTCTTATCGATTTGGTCTCATCGGAAGGAGAGAACTTACTCACACGTCAAGTGATTTCAGTACCGAGTGTGCGCCCAGCAATCTCGTCTACTTGAAAAGAAAAACTGACACTCTCGCATTTCCCGAGGGGAAAAATATCGCAGCGTGGTGCGCGAGTGAAAAAAAAAAGCGTGAGCTGTCACAATCTTTCTGCCGATCGAGACATCCCGACGGCAACCCCGGATACCCCTATAACCCGTAATGTATTTGCGATCGCGCCAACGAGCAGCACAAGGGAGGTACGAGCACACAAGAGAGGCGGTAGGAGCTGGTGTAGCGGCCGCGTGCGGTCCCAGAGATCACGGATCGTCGTCTTCGAGGGCCAAAGGTGGAACGCAGAGGAAAGCGGCGAGCCGTTATCGCGATCTAGCGTCAGCACCGCAGCCGCAACCGCGGCCGCTACGAAGCGGCTCCGCAGACAGAGGCTCCGCTTCGGACTTGGTGTACCTGAAACGCGGCATGAGCGAGGGTGAACGAGCGGCGATCACGCCACGAATCGGCTGGCGAAAGCTCACCGACCCTGGCGACTGACACGAATCCAGGAAGCCGAGGGCAGGTCCGAAGCGATAGCACCAACTACCGCTGCTCGCTCATCAGCATCCTCGTTTTCCTGCCACTCTCTCGACGACCGCCATCGGTCTATGGTCCTGGCACAGCCACGAGACGGCTTTCAGAGTCCGTAGGACGTGGTCGTCATCGTCATTGTCGTATCTCCCGTGCCAGCTCGATGCCGGCCAGATGCCGGATAACGCGCCACCAAGACCCGCTGCGAGGACCTTGAAGAGGGATCCCGAGATGGCGGGCAATCGGTGTCGGTAGCAGACGGGGTTAACGTCCCGAAGAGCGCAATCGTTCAAACGGCACCCACGCCTCGTCGTACCTCGTGTAGCTCACCGATCACCTTCGGCATTCTTTCTTCTTCCCCTTCGTCTTCGCGTTCCAATGTCCCGGCTGCATTTTTAGTCATAGCAAATAACGAAACTCTGTCTCACATCGAGCGATCCGAGGTGGCCTCGAGAAGCACCCGTATACGGACAATAATTTGTTAGGTACTAAGGCTAGTGTTAAATTATAATACGTATCCAGTAGGGAAGGCAACAGGTAACAAGGGAGGCAAGAAAAAGCCGTACAGAGATAGAAAGAAATTCTTTTCTACATTTACAAACCTGACGATCCTCGGACGGGCAGTAGAAAGAGAGAAAGAAGAGATTAAAAAAGCATGAGATGCAAGTGCGTTTAAAAGATAGTATTCCATTCGTTTGACCATTTTCAAACCTCGTTTCTCTTGAGTCACCTTTCGGTTGAGCTGCATTTTCTCTAATCGCGAGCATGCCGCCCACGCCGAACAAGCTAAACCTGAGCTTCACCAGAAATGCGTACAGCGTTTTCGGTAGTCGCAACGCAGCTACCGCGAACGAGCATCAGCGCGAGCAAAAGACGGAACTGTTGGAGGGTAAGGATTATAAGGAAGCAAACATCTATCTCGTATTCTCGTACGTTCGTCACATTTTTCGTTTCGTGGTCATTGATACTGCTCGACGTTAAATAAACGCGTTGTCCCATTCTACCTCGCTACTTTACCGCGATTATCCTCGACGATGACCGCACAATTTCCATTCTCTCTCATTCCCCTCGTGATTTGACGGGATCGGAGTTATAAAGGCCACCAGCGGCATCATTATCGTCAGAAACGCGCCGCATTCTGCACGCGCCTGCAACCGCATCATTAACAACAAACGGAACCTTACGAAACGCCGCGGAGAAAGTGTCGGATATAGTTTACGATTGGTGAACGAACGGTTCAGGACGATCGGCATGCGAACGGTCTCTCGTTGTAACGACATTGACGTCATTTCAGGTACTAGAGCCAATGGCCTTCTACATTTGAAGAATGGCGTAGATTATATCAATCCCGGCGAAGAGGACCAGATGGAAATTTACGGGTAGGTCACTCGTGTTGCGTCACATAATCGTTGGTGAATTCTCCTTGAATCTCGCAGCCCGCTTAATAATCTCCGCTTATTATCGCTACAGTTATAGACGAAACCGCGTGCGGACCGTTATTATCTGGTTCCTGATTGTCATTACCGGAGGCTTCCTGAGGCTGATATTCCACTGGGTGCCACATCTCATGCTCTTGGCCACTCACACCAAGTGCTCTTTGGAAGAGGCGGAAACCGTTTTGTTGATTGAGAAGTTTCAAGGGAAGCACACGAGTTATTACGTGAAGAAGTTGAGGAGCTTGACTGCCCAGGAAATTATGTTAGTAATCTTTTCATTCTTGTAAATGTATCCTGTAAACGTTAACGAAATCAATATCGATAATTATTATTTTATTTTCCAGTAATAAATCTTTTCACGAAGAATCTCTGATCGATGAAGCATGGGACGGCAGTGTTATAACCAGCAGGGAGGAGAAGGAGACTTATCCGATGTTGTCCGTGCATCTTTGCGGGGGTCAATTCAAACGTGAGAGAATCAGTGTACTTTATGCGACCTGTACATATCAAATGTAGGACAGTTTCATTACGCGAAGGTCTTTTTAGAGGTGCCATCCATAACCAACTTTAATTGCAAAAAGCTGACCTACGTTTGGGACCCGGAAAGATCGGAATTCCTGAAACTGCGTGGCCTCGACACCGACGTTCTGATATCCACGTTACATCAAGCGCAAGGTCTCAGTTCTCAGGAACAGTACATGAGGTAAAAGTCGAATCAATCCCAGCGTCTCGTATCGAGAACTTGGCGTCATCAATTATGGTACATTTACATTTAAATTAATTGGACAATTTACATCTATAGGCGCAACGTTTATGGCAACAACGAGATCGTGATTCCCGTGAAAAGCATATTCACGTTACTCTGTCTCGAAGTGCTCAATCCGTTCTACGTCTTCCAACTATTTAGTTTTTGTCTATGGGTCGCCGACGACTATTATTATTATGCCATGGTGATTCTTGCGATGTCAAGCGCCGGTATTACAATGGCAGTCTTCCAGACGCGACGAGTGAGTCACCTCTCTTCTTTTCCAGTCATTACCTCGTGTCGTTGAACTAATCGAATTTTGTTCTTCTCAGAATCAGCATAATTTGCGCTCGACGGTGCATTCGTCTGACGTCGCCACTGTTATGCGAGACCGTACGACCGGCCAAACCGCGGTAGTGCCGGCTGAACGCTTGGTACCTGGCGACGTCTTGGTCATCCCATCTCACGGATGCCTAATGCCATGCGATGCTGTGCTGCTCACTGGCAACTGTATCCTCAACGAGTCTATGCTGACGGGAGAATCTGTACCTGTCACGAAAACACCAGTTCCTTCTTCTAACGATGTGATATACAATACCAAAGAACATGCTAGGCATACGCTCTTCTGCGGTACCAGAGTTATTCAGACGAGATACTACGGCAGTGAGAAGGTGAACTTTGAATTTTCTATTTATATACTTTCATTTTTTCCAAATATAAATAATTGTGGTATGATATTAGGTGCTTGCGGTGGTCATCAGAACAGGTTTCAATACCAGCAAAGGCGATCTTGTGCGGTCCATCATGTATCCCCCGCCCGTGGATTTCAAATTTGAGCAAGACTCGTACAAATTCGTCATAATGTTAGCATGCATAGCCAGCATCGGCGTCATTTACACCGTTGTAACGAAAATAATGAGAGGTGTTCACGGTAGTCATATTGCTCTAGAAGCGTTGGATCTTGTTACTATTGTAGTGCCACCAGCATTGCCAGCTGCCATGACGGTCGGACGTCTCGTGGCACAACGTAGATTGGAAAAGAAGAAAATATACTGTACGAGCCCGAGAACGATTAACGTGTCAGGATCCATCGATTGCATTTGCTTCGACAAGACTGGAACGTTGACCGAGGATGGTCTAGATATGTGGGGAGTTGTGAGCGTATCGGATGGAAAATTCCAATTGCCCGTCAAGGACATCACTAGTCTAGCGTTGTCTGAGATTCTTATCGGCATAGTTACTTGCCATGGCATCACCATAATCGATAACCAACTAGTAGGAGACCCGCTCGATCTGAAAATGTTTGAATCCACCGCATGGACGCTGGAGGAACCTGATGTATCCGATACATCCAAGTTCTCCATGCTATTCCCGACAATTGTCAGACCGGCGAAGGATTCCAAGCTTCTCAAGAGACTGCCCAACGATTTAGGCGGTCGACAAACGCTCAGTCGACAAAACTCCATGTCTTCCGACGTGATGGACGGTATATCTCTTAACAACCTCCACGACGCTACGTTCGGTGATTCTGCGACAGAACTGGAGCAAGGACTGGAAGTGGGCATTGTCCGGCAATTTCCCTTTACATCGAGTCTTCAGAGAATGAGCGTCATCACTAGGACATTGGGCGCCAATCACTATGATCTTTATTGCAAGGGTAGTCCAGAGATGATCCTCAGTCTCTCAAGAGCCGAATCTAGTAGGTTTCTACAATGGCATAAATTTCAATAATTCTACTTTTACGTTTTAATTTTATTAATACCAAACTGATATTTGTACTTGTTCTATTTATAGTTCCTTCAGATTTCGCAGCTGTTTTGCAAGAATATACATCCGAAGGTTATCGAGTGATCGCCCTCGCGCACAAATCTCTGAACCGTCTTCCGTATGCCAAGGTGCAACGTATAAATCGTGAAGCCGCCGAGATCGATTTGACATTCCTGGCGCTGATAATTATGGAGAACCGACTGAAGCCCGAGACCTCACCAGTGATCGACCAACTGAACGCCGCTTGCATCAAGACGGTGATGGTGACGGGTGATAATATGTTGACCGCACTCTCGGTGGCCAGGGATTGCGATATCGTGAAGCCGGGCACGCCGGTGATTGCCGTTTCGACGAACCAGCAGAATCTGTTGAAACCGCATATCTACTTCACGAAGAGCGATAGTCAACCACCGCCAACCTCGCCAAACGATCAGCATGATCTCAGCGAAACAACCGAAATGAATAGCATGGCTAGCTTGGAAACTATTGAGAGCGGCTCCTTCGCCAACACCAAGTTGGAGAACGATATTAATTATCTATCGGATGAGTAAGTATCTCTATTTCTCAGCATCGCGACGTGGTCTATTAAAATAAGTGGGTAATGTGAAACTTACAATCTATTTAATAATTGCAGTGTGCAATATTCCAAGAATAAATACGTATTTGCTTTGACGGGAAAGACTTGGGCATTGATAAAGCAGTATTATCCAGAACTAATACCCAAAGTGGTCACCCGCGGTGCCATTTTCGCAAGAATGTCGCCGGATCAGAAGCAACAGTTAGTTCAAGAACTGCAGTCTCTAGGATACTACGTTGGTAAGTGCGAATATAAAAGAAATGAACTATGTTGTCTACAACGCGTCTTCAATGGAATGACAAATAAGTGCGATAACTTGTGGTGTAGACGTATGTTAACGATCTGAGACAAGGTTTCTTTTTTCACAGCCATGGTGGGAGACGGTGCTAACGATTGTGGCGCGTTGAAAGCGGCGCACACCGGGATATCCTTATCGGACACGGAATCCTCCGTTGCTTCGCCCTTCACTAGTCGCGAGACCAATATCTCTTGTGTTCTGACGGTGATACGCGAGGGTCGCGCCGCATTGGTTACGTCCTTTGGCATTTTCAAATACATGGCTGGCTACTCGCTCACACAATTTATCTCGGTGATGCTCCTCTACAGCATCGAGTCCAATCTGACGGACATCGAGTTTCTGTACATCGATCTATTCATTATTTCCATATTCGCTTTCTTCTTCGGTCGCACCGAGGCCTATGAGGGCTCGCTAGTGAAAATGGCGCCGCTCAACAGTCTCATTAGCACGTCGCCGATACTCAGTCTGGTCACCCAACTTGTGATCGTCGCGATTTTCCAATACACAAGTCTCTGGCATCTACGGCAGATGTCATGGTTCGTGCCATTCAACGCGACCGCGACAGCGGATAAAGATGACGTGGGCTGTTTGGAGAATTACACAATCTTCATCGTCAGTTCCATGCAGTACATCATCCTGGCGGTAGCGTTCTCCAAAGGGCCACCGTACAGAAAGTCTCTCTTCACCAATTACGGCCTACTCACCTCCTTCGTTTTCCTTAGTCTCTTCTCTATTTATCTTGCAATATGCCCCTTTGAGTGGCTGGCCAAATGGTTCGAGCTTGTGCTGCCCAACGATCTGGGCTTCCGTTTCATTCTGGTTGGCTATGGCGTGGTGAATTTCGTAATTGCGCTACTGCTTGAGTATCTCTTTGTGGAGTACCTCGTGTTTGGCAAGTTGCGCTATCGCTGGCACGACGTGGATAAATCTCGACGGAAGTTCTTAGCCATCGAACGAGACATGGCGCGTGATCTTAAATGGCCGCCGATCTCCCAGGAGCCGCTACCGGAAGCAGCGCCAAATTTATTAATCCGGCAGAATGTCACCGAGATCAAAATCGAGAAGCGGATTACCGAGCCATGCCTTCCCACCGATACCAGCTTCATGAACAATTCGCCGATTTGCGTCGGCTTCAAACACTTCGGATCTGCTCGCGAAGTTACCCTCAATCCCAGATCCCTCTTCGACGATTGTCGAAACACGGTGTCAATGCAGACGGTGCCGTGCTTCGAGGATATGGACTTGCCGCCGAAACAATCGAATGCGGAAACCATTGTAAAGCGACGACACAACTCGGAATCGGCAAACGGTATCAATCGTTACGAGAAACCTTACATGAATCACAATACCAATCCCATCGCCACGCTTCCCAGAAATCCTAACGCGACCCTTCAGCCGCAGAAGCTGAGGGACTTCAAGGATGTCCTAGTGCACAAGAGCGACGATCGAGTGTCGTCCAATACCGAGAACGTGCTTGAATTAGATATCCTGCCGTCCTGAGGTCCAAAGCACTCGAAAGATCGGTCGAGAGGTAGCTGAGTACCTTGAAAATCAACCCAATAGCTAATTAATTCAGAATATTATTCAATCTTCATTTCTAATCGACGCATTTAGAGCATCAGAACGATCATTGCGATATGAGACATAATCTAAAAAGCCGGGATCTCTGATACGACGATTTCGTGTCTTGAATGCCTGATGCTCTTGTAATCTCGATTTTCGATAACGCTCTCCTTCCATCCGGTATTTGTGATAGTTAGAATGCGTATTTCATATCAATTATGATAACGGTTCATTTTTATGTGAGAAGTGGAATGGCGCTTGACTCGAAGTCTATACTCGATCAGGCGAATTCTGAGTCGACGTATTGTATTTAGTCAGTACTGGTATCCACGACTTGGTGATTAATGACGTTACTTAAGCTAAGAATAAACCGGACGTTAGAACAGCATTAAAGCTGTTTAGTCATTACTTGCGATCTCTAGATATTTAATTAAACTTGATTGTCTCATTATTCTTTCATAGAGCAGCTCTTCTTTCACTTAGCTCTAATTAGTATTTAATATGGAATTTGTGTTGCACATTTGCATATTATGTATATGTAATTGCATATTACATTTATTAATATGTAATTAATATGTAACAATCATTATTTAATTTTTTAATTGTAAATTGCTTTCTAACTTAGGTTTATTTATATTTATCGACTCAGGCCAGGGTCCCTTTTGACCCATTCCTTTTTAACCCCTAGTCCTCTTCCTTCTTTCTCTCATTAGTATCCGAGAGCAGAAAAGTATTATTGTTATTTATCTTTGAAAGCAAGACATTGCAAACTGTATACTGTATATTATACAAAGGAGAATTTCTTGAAAGAAGCATAGTGTATTGCGTTTCAAATGTTTATACGGCAACATTTACCGCAAGATTTGAAAATAAAGCGTGGACTTCGAGAACAAGTCGGCGTGATAATAATATCTTTTTTCACTACGATTTGAATGAATACTTAAGCTAACTTGCAACTTAATCCTCCAAAGTATGTTCAGCTGGGACAGAAATTACCATTAACTACCTGGCCGCTATTCTCCGAGCACTCGATTCGATTTCCCGATGCATTTTTTATACCCTCGAGATTTATTTGTATTTATTCAAATAGCATGATTGTACATAAATAATTTATAGCGAGTGCATATGTGTATTGCATTTTACGAAACGATAAGATACGAGAAATAATTAAAAATGGTGGTTACAGATCAATGATTGCGATAGAAACTGATTTATTGAATTTGCTATTGTTAAACATTTATCTCGAAAGTCATTTTACAAAATGTGACTTAAACTGAGATGATGTGATGCAAACAGTCTGGTAGCTGTCAAAGAACTGCATATTTAGGCATATTATGTTAAGTAATGAAATTATCTTGAATATTATGAGACGTTATAAAATAGGTGAAACCGAAAGCGATAAAATGAAACATTGTCGTCGCTCGGAGCCGATTACGTACTGTTAAATAACTATGTCAAGAAATAAAAAGTGTGTACTTATGAAATATGCGCTACGGATATAGATACTTAATCGGCGTTGATTTACCTACGACGCTATAGTTCGTGTTGAAAAGTAGCAGTTGTCAAATAAAATATGTTTTTAATGTAGACACTGTTCATTCATTTCATCATTGCTTTTTCTCTAGTGTAATAAACAAGAATCATAGTGATATTAAAATTTAAATTAATTCATAATACATCTGTTACTTTGGCAATGGTCTCGAGTTATACTTAAAACGTTATGCCATTATTATAGATATTGTAGAATTAGTTGTTGCAATCGTACCGTAGAGAGTTCAGTGCTGTTTTAATGAGAATAACATCAAAAACAAAGTATTTATTAAGCGCAAATTCATACATATATCATACATGCTTAATTTACAAAACATTCACATCGTTGTAATTACAACATACTTACTCCACCCACTTGTGTCAATAGAGATACTTATATAATAACGTATTATACATTTAATAGGGAACGTCAAGCTTTTCCTCGCTTTTGAAACAATATTGACGAAAACACGAAATCGTTTATTACGACGTCTACGATACATTTTACTCTAAATTACATTTACATTCCCGTGAAGTAAAATGGCTTTAATTTCGTTAGACATATGGTTTTCTGAAAGTCAGTTCAAATGAATTCTCTCATTAAATGCTTATATCATTGTGTCACATTGATTTCTCGGATGTGCTTTAGACCCCGGAAATCATTTTCAATGCGAAAGCTGTCTGATCCTCGTGTCACAGAATTCAGGCTCTTTCTGCCAAAATAAGGTTTTTAGATGTTGCATTCGAATTTCAAAATTTTTTTGCGTGCAGGTAAGGGAGTCCCTAACTGGGAAGATTTTTAATAATTTTACTTTTTTAGGACATATAATTCTTGTGTATTTACTTTAATTGTATCTGTTTTATTATTTATTAAGTTTTTACTTATCTGACTTACAGCATTGTATGATGTGTTTTTTAATTCAATGTATATCGATTCAGATCTTATTTTTTACGACTTCATTTAATTTTCACGTTTCACTGATTGTATGGTGAGTTAATTTTGAATGTTATTTTGATAATTTCTAATCGTTGAGGCTTAAACTTGTACAGACCATAATCACACATGTTTCGTGAGGTAGTGATTTCGGATTACGCAATCCCTAAGCTCTCATCATGGCGTCGGAGGAGATAGTGAAATTTTGCACTTAATTTATTGCACTGAAGATGGCTCGAGACGTCCATGTATTATGACATTTGACTAAACGTTTTATGTACTGTAAAATACATTTATATGTAAACTTTTAAACACGTAGAAATCCGTGTTGAACTCTCAAGTCCACATATAACTACTAAAATGTTTTAATTTTTCTTCTAATTAGAGACGCCCTACCTGTGCATGCAAAAATTTTTGAAATCCGAGTGTAACACCGAAAACAACTCTTCCTTGTGAGAACAATTCTCCTGCGGTTGCGGATGCGCTACGAGTTTATGACATATGTAATCCAATCGACGGTCTTAGCTACGCGATGATAGATCCCTGGTTGACCTGGCTGTGCGCAAGAATAACCTGCGGAGACGATGCCGATGAGGTACCATCGACCAGTTTTCTCCAACATCAACGGACCTCCGCTGTCACCCTAAAAATTAAATGGTTTATATTCTTGAAAAAGTACATTGGAGCAGACGAAACAGAGGAAAAAGAACAAGAGAACGGAACGACGATTCATCGTTCAAACAGTACGCGCCCACGATGACGAAACCGCTTACCTGACACGAATCTTTGCCGCCGCTTCGATAGCCGGCGCACATCATCTCGTCGTAAATGACGACGTTGATACCATTCGACCGATGCCACTGCTCACAGATGCGATTATTGATCACGGGCACGTCTACAGCTTGCAGAGTCTTGGGTCGTAATCTAGAACCTAAATAAAATAATTCGATATAACGAGATAAGCAGATTACAAAAACAAATTCTAACAAGATCTTAATTATTTATGTCAAATTAATATTAGGGCTGTAAGATATTTTATTTCTCCATTCAAATATATGTGCGTATATTTCAATATCTGTTATAATAACATTGCAAGAAATCGTGTTCTGCCGTAAATAGACCCAAAAAAATATAATCCAGACTTTATAAGGCGAGAGATGGAAAATGTGTTAAAAATTATATTGTCGGAGATGAGTATAAAACAATTTTTTCGCGAGCAAAGCACTACCTGCTTGTAAAGCACCCCATCCCGCAGCCCAGCCATATTGTCCCAGGAAGTCTTCGTTTTTCTCCGGTAGACATATAGGTGCTATATGAGGCATATAATGAACCGGTCGGTCCAATCGAAGCACAGCCACATCGAACCTGATAAACAAGAAATATAGAGGACACAAAATCGATTAAGTTTACTCTGTTTAGCTGACGATTGTCGACATTTACGAGGTATTCACGTTAAATAAATGAGTAATACACGCGAACGCACCTGTCCGCCTGCGGCGTGAATTTGAAATAAGGATGCACTCTGATTTCTCGAACTCCAAAAGTATAAGCGGGCAAATTTTCACTCGCAGAATTCACCACGTAATCGCCGAGAGTGACCTGGACTTGTCGCGCCGACGCTCTGACATTCGAAAAATTGACGAAATATTCTAATTAACAACCATTTATATTTAAAATTTAACAATTGCATTAATGTAAAACAAAAAAAAACATATACAGATAGATTATTCCCCACTCACTTCGCAACGCAATGGCCAGCGGTGACAACGTGAAACCGATTGACCAAAGTGCCGCCGCATCTGCTGGAACCGATCCGTATATAAGCCTGTTAAAACAAACAATGGATTTAATGATAAGTTGGAAACCCAAACTAAGGTGTCTCGCGCATTATCATCTAACCTGCCACGGGAAACTGCCAAAACCGGCGTCGTCGCCGCCGACGATTCTCCTCTGCGCGATTTGTTTCGAGACAACCGGTATGCCGCAACCTGCAAAACGCAATTGCCTGGATTCGCGTGCAATTAAAGTGTCGCCGTTATAATTATAGCTGTGGGGTCTAATTATTTGGCGCGACGAATTGCACTAGAGTTGCCAAATTTTCCCTTTCTGAAATAGAACGTAGGCGTCAAGTAAATTAATTCCGGAGGAGCGGCAGAGAACTCTTGTAGATAGTAATTAAAAGAATACTTATATACGACATAGTTGAGCGCAAAGCTATTGTTCGGCGACAAATAAAGCAACGGGTATCCTAAGTTATTCTGCGTGCACAGAATATCTGGTAATCCTAACTGTGCCGCAACCTGTGATTACAATAACGCGCAATGATGCTTAAACACGGTTCCATAACAATCAACGCCTTTAGAGCTGACCACACAAACTGCGAAAGACATGCAATAATCGACAGCGGCAAAAAACTTTCTTCCCCGTTCTTCTCTTCGCCGAAATTGGACTTGGAGTAATACGATGTTCTTTATTTATTATATATAATAACAATAATAGTTTCTTCCGTTCCATTTTAACGTCGGACCTTGGCCTGCATTGCTTGTAACCAAGTGATTTCGACAGTACTCAAATAACTCCTAATGTTACATCGATCACTTCAACATCGCCCGACAGATAAAGTCAAGATAATAGATATAATTTGTACAGCTGTTAGCTTCAAGTTAGAGCTATTGATAAAGAAAATCTCGATAAGAGAACAAGCTTATATAATAATACGTTATCAAATTTAAAATTATCTTTCTTAACAATTATTACAATAATAACCTTTGTACGTGTAAACGTGTGACATCGTTATTTCTTAAATCACAACGCTTTGGAAGGGTAAACATTCCAACTCTGTTAACTTTATTAATATGAATACATTCCACACAAAATGTGAATTACAGGAGAGCTCAAGAGATCTTTTAGATTCGTTAGATTACTTGGAACTACCCATAAAGGATATTACAAAGATATCCTTTTATTATAATTAGTCGCAGACAAATTCATGCGCTTATTAGTGCATTGCTTTGTATAAAGTGATCCTTTACGAAAAAACGATTGTTGCGAATGCAGCGAAGCGTTTTATTCACGTAGATCATGAGAAAGAGACGGAGCCTAGATCGCCAAAGTTTTATGAGCCGATGGCGATGCAGAAAAAAACGCGTTTCACCATTTAGAAAATTAATCCACGGACGACGACAGCTGTTATGATATCTACATCCATTCGCCTGCTGCGCTTTCTACCAATTTCAAGAGTTTATATTATATTTCTTTGTAAGAATTGACCTACGATTTCTAGTAGCTTTTCATTCATTAATTCAGCAAGGATTGTACCGTTTCGTTCAAGCGGACACTGAGAAGACCGTTTTTATCTCGTGGTGAAAAATATTAAGGAATCGAGTTCGAGGAGACGGCCACTTATAATCGTTAATAGGCATTTACAGGAATTCAGACGGATAATTGTGTGGAAAAATACAATGTTACAATATTGATAAAAATCATTTTCGGACAAACATGCATGGGAAGACAGATATTTATACGATTTCACTTAATCACATGCTTGGACTGAATCATGTGCATGCACAACAAGAAGAGAAGGTCAAAGTAACATAAAACGTGCGTGTGTCAAAGAAGAAAGAACTGTGATATTAAAAGGAAGAAAAGACTGAAGACGACAAATGGAAGACATCCGGTAAGGAAACTGTGCAATTTTTGTGCGACGGTGTGCGGAGAAGAAGAAGAAGAAGAAGAAGAAGTGGGAACAGTTTGTGCTTGGAACAGACGCGAATGTGTGGAGCCGTGAAATAGTTGATGAAGAGAGAAACAATCGACAGGAAACTAGAGGAAAGACAAAAGAAGAAAAAAGAGACAAGGGTGGACCTCATGCTTTCAAGTGCGGTGCTAGAGTACGGACAGCATGCTTTTCGAAGGAAGGACTTACGATCGTCGCTGGCGGTCTCCGTGTACAAATCCAGCGGAAGCGGCCGAGATTGATCTCTAGGCGACTCGATCAGGTTATAATCAGTGAGAGCTTTAGGGTCTTTCTTCTGACAACACGCGTACATAATGCCGCCGCAGCTGCCGTCCAATAGGCCAGCAGACATCCAGCATATTAGAAAAAATTCGCAGCTCCGTCCGTCCGCGCACAATGTATCGTCGCCTTTCCACAGCGGTCTTTTTTCTTGGCGCATCTCTGCAGAAAATATGGAAACTCTTGTCTTCCGCGACTGTCCAGTTACGTAATCGTCCTTAACAATCGTCGACTTATCAATGCGCGGTGCGACCGCGTTTCCCGTCCGGTCGAGAAGGAAAATGTCCGGGGGTTCGCAATTTGTATGTTGCAGAAAGGCGTCATTGCAGTTGCTAATCTAATCTCAATCTATATAACTATGTTAGGCGAAAGTAGAAAACGATTCCAACAGAACGTGACTCCTCTCAATCAGATATTGATTATTAAAAATTGAAGAATTAACATCCATTAACTAGACATAATTGTGATTATAATATGTTATTAATACACTTCAAATAACATACATAATCCTAATACTACAAAAAATTGAAACTCTTTACAAAATACAAATCTTTCTAATCGATACTTAATGCAATTATCAATCGAAGGAGGCCGCCGCTTTTACTTCGCCGATTACTCCAAGTCTAACTTCGAAAGACGAAACCACCGCAAGTTAAAATCGAGGACTGGTTTAAAGCTAGCACGAGCGTAGTGAAAAGAATATATTAAAATTTTAACTATTTGACCTTTATTTTAATTCAAGACCATATTTTCTAATAAAATTTGCACATTATTTAAAGAAGATAAATTTGTAAAATTTAAACACGTATACTTTTATCCCAGCAAAATTCTCATATTCTTCATCAATAATTTACAAACAATTTAATGATATTTATAATTTGTAGTTAAAATCACATAAAAAACAATTACTATATGTAGAATCCGACCAAAAGCTATTGAACAGCGAAGGATTAAACCGATCTCGCTGAAATCTGTCAGGATAAAACTATTCAAGATAATAAGTGCAAACGATAGAAAAAATATCGACATGATCAACCGTTTCTCCGACAATACTTTCTATAGAGAAACATTTGGACAATCGTAAAAGGACCTCGTACCAGTTCAGCGTGACAACGATCTACCGTTCGGCGGCAAAGCGCGACGTCGACGATGTCGTAACGATTTCCGTGCTTGGACCACGACGGAAGTCGTCGACTGTAATGGAAATAAGTTTCGCGCACCATTAAGAAGTGGGATGTTGCGCGACTAACCGTCCGATTTTTACGAGTTTACGCGAGAGGACGAAGTCACCAAGGCGATCAAGTGAGCCGACAACTAAGCAGGAATTGCGAACTTGGTGGAAGGAATCGGAAATTTCCGTGAGTAACATCATTACGACTAGTTTGAATTTTTCTGCTAACAAATTGCACATACCTGTTTCCAATCTGGGGAAATCATCCGGTGTCTGTTTCCGGAGATCTGAAATAAAGATGCTATTCTGGAAAAGTGCAGTCATCGTAAGATAAAAAAAAAGAAAAGAAGCTATTTCCTGCTAAAAGAATAGGTCGTTTAATTTAAGAAAATAAGCACCTTACGTAGCATTTGTATAAAAATCGAATTAATTTAAAATTAGAAAGGAAAAAGTAGAGTATTTATATGAGAATTAATTAACTCTAATCTCACAGCTGTTCAAGATTAATAAATACCGTCCGATATTTTTATACACACTGTCATTATTTATGATGATAAATTAGCAATTATTACAGTTTACTGCACAGACATTACACATCTTACGCGCTTACATGCTCGCGAGTTAGTTCACTCGATCGCGCCGGAGATAAGTGTCGGTTCGTTTACAATTGAAATGCTTCGAAAGTTCCATATAATACATCATTTGCATTTGCACGCTTCTCTAAGCACCTCGCCGATGAAGCGCTATTTGCATAGCGAATCGAATTACAGAAGTGACGGGATTACGCGAGCGCGCGAAGAAAAGGAAGAAAGTAAAATGGAAAGGTATTTATTATACATTTAAAGAATAACGAGCACCGATAAATACAGGCCCGTATGAAACGTTGCAATATGTTTAAGTATATTACAGCTGTCTAACCCATAATTTCTAATACTGCAGCATTTAAAGCATCGAGAATGTATTTGATAAGCACCAATCTGAACCGTTTAAATATTAGAAATTATGCACAATTTATAGTTTACAATAAATTGCATATTAGGATAAACAATATAATAATTGACCGTTAATCCACAAAAAAAGATATAAGTTTTAAGCCCGGTTTCACCAAACGTCGCTTAACTTTAATCTTAGTTTAATTCATGTTTGTCTCTTCCTAAAATAACAGTTGGAAAGAGGACAAGGAACGAATTAAGCTAAGCTTAAAGTTAAGCGACGTTGGTGAAGCCGGGCCTTAATCGAATAGGACAAAGCTTAAAATATTGATGAATTATTCTCGATTCTCGAGAAGGAATGCTCTTACCTCTGATATCATCCTCGAAATCTGGCAGCTGATTAGACTGCTGGAAAAAGGAAGCCGCGCCGCCTCCAACCGGCGGCAGGAAATCGTTGTCACGAAATATCAGTCGCGGCGTCCGATGAGACATCACCGGTCTATTGTAATCGGAAATTGCGGGACTTCTCCAAAGAGACTTGTGCTGTCTCCATGAGCCAGACAATTGAGCCTGCGGCACGAAACGAGTAGCCGGATGCGACCCAAGATTTCTGCCATGTGGTATCGAGCCACCCTCGAGGAGGTAAGCAGATCCCGTCGGAAATCGTACATATCTCCGCCGGCGAATTGCTACGATCGCGGTACGCTTGGTCTCATCTTTTTGCACGTCGATAGCCGAGGAATCGGAGCTCTTGAAGCGCTGCACCTCGCTCGCCATCAAGTTCGAGGAAAGACTCAGGACGATTGCAGCGAAAAGCCAATGACGCAGCCTCGATGCACCCATCGTTTTACTGAAGAATTAGAAACGGTTGCTCGAGATCAAGTGCTCGTTAAACTTCAAAAAGATAAATGATACATAGTGTATAATATAAATTATTATTTATAGAAACAGATTATTATAATTGGTTATCAAATAAGAGATGCGTCTGAGCGATCTTTCCATGTGCTGTAACACTTGGATCCTAGACAATCTGTCACTACTCAATTCAGGCTCTGGATCGAGGATTTTCTCCTCGAGTTTCACGAGTCGTTAATCATCATCGGACGCCATATTAGAACTGATTCCTAGCGAAAGGAAATGCATATTGCTTGAACTCGCAGCCAAGTGGAATCATCAAAGATTCCGATCTGATGTCGAGGAATGCTACTCGTACCCACAATTATCGGTAACGATTTCGCGATGAATCGGGGAACTTTCTTTTGGCACTGAACCGTCCATGCGTACTGTTCCCATTTATGAAACGATAAAAATGATGTAGTTAATATTATATTTTTGGAAGATGAAAGTTTTTACAGATTTTATCTCTTCTCTCTACCGATACTTTTTTTCTATCTATCAACTAGGCCTATCAAAAGTATAATCTACAATCGTTCGTAACGAGAAGCGTCTTCAACATTTTAACAACAAAAATGGCTATTATTTCTTTTAAATTTAGATTCTGTTATCCTGAATTTAGAGTTGACACAGACAAGTTAGGAGACAATCTTGCATGAGGCGACGCTTGGAAGCAAACGAAGCAAAGTGGAAAACAACTTCCGCATGGCCCGTGAATTCCTCTTGGTAGGATGGGGACGAAATCCAGTTTGCGTCACGATCCTCCGTAACGAGTGAAAGTAAAGAGGTTCACCCGGAACCAAAGATCATGGCATTTATACGTGAAAAAGATTCACCGAACGTGCTTAAATTCACCAACTCTGTCGAATGAAATTATCGCCCACGAACGACATTAGCGAGAGAAAACGATGCGCTAGTAAAACTTTAATAAGGCTTCCTCATGTGCTAGCGGCTCTAAAGCCTGAAACTTGTCAATTTCTATTTTCAATCACTTATGTAATTACAAATGCGCGTCAACTTCTTAAAAAATAATAAATTTTGTAGTTGTAATTAAATAATCAATAGATTCTTATTATAAAGGCAGAAATTTAATGGTTAGATAGATTTTTTCCCAGAATCTTTCGAAAATCAAATTTCTGTGCGACTTTGACATTGCCTCATGTTTGGCAGATAAACCGGGAGCTCTCTAAGCGTTAGAAATATTAAAAGAAAAACAAGGGGAAGGAAATATAATATTGTTCCTTAAATAACGTTGGTGGACGGCCTTGCCGGGCCACTGTCAATCGCAACGGAGAAGATGAACGGTTCGATGTGTTAGTAGGTCATTGGCTCTACGTCGCGTGGATCCACCAGAAGTGAAAGTACACCTCTTGCGTGCACGACAGTGTGAAGTTCACGTTCACGCAGTGCCACCCGCCGCCCCGACGACGGAAGTTACGAATCGCTGCTCACATCGTACACCAAAAGCCTCCCACCTTTTTGTCCCTCCTATTTATTCCCTTTGTCCCCTGCGAACCCGCCTTGCCACGCGAATGCACGCGAATCCGTTGCGCACGGTGATTTTCACCGTGAAAGTGTTCGATTACTACAACGCTATCCCGTTTGCTCAGATCTTACTAATTCCCCCGGCCGCAATTCCCGACATTGTTGTTCTTCTATTTCTCGCGAATTATAGATAACGAAATGCTGTGATCTTCTTTTTAGATTTCCAGCTCCGTCGAGCGTATCTCAATGGAAGTACAAGACATATGTACTCGTATTAAATTGTGAAATCGGCCTATAATGTTGATCACGCAATTCTACATTGTATATATATACGACGATATATTATATGTATACGTCATACTTCTTTTCTCGATGCTAAATAATTTGATAACCCTTGGGGAAAATACACCTTAGAAAACCTTACAATTTTACTTTAGAAAAATAAGAAATATAAAAAGTGACACTTTAAACTTTTATACGTGACCGCGCGCGGTTTTCTTCTTACGAGAAAGTGCTACGCCGCGCGGCCCTCTAGCAGGAAATTTGACAGGCTTGACTATCTAGAAATTACTTTAAGTGTCCAAAATTACTTTAAAAGTTCTTAAGTAAATTTTCAACTTCCTCACGTAAACCCTTAGATTTGAAAGATTACTTAAAAATTTTTAATTTAATTTAGAGTAAATCTTCCCAAGGGAAGAATTCAGCTAGATTTGTTCTTGCCTTACTATTGTTACTTTAGCCGTCGGTTCATTGAAAAGTGAAGACAGTAAATTTTTACGACAGTTAATGAAAGCGTTAATTCAACATCATCAGTCATTTGCCGCGTCCGTTTTCAGCTGTCAGTGAAAGCACGCGCATGCAAGCACCCACATGGATCGGGGATCTCCGATCACATCCCTCTCCCTCTCCCGCGGTCCACGCGTGCAGCCCGCGCGGTATATCGAATTCCGCATGTGAGTCTACATTAAGAACGTGAAGACCCATCACTTTCTCCTGGCCGCACGGGAGTTCGCCATTACTTTCGCCCAAATCGAAGGATAATTGTTCTCTCGTGCACGTTCCGCTGCGCTAGGATTACAATTTTCCTTCGGCGCATCGCATACACCCTAATAGCTGACAACAACAATGGAACCGGCCAAGCATTACGGAGAAAAGCTCTGCACGCGCCGCCGAGCCACGACGATAATGTCGGTGATAATGCACCTACACGTCCGGAATTATATAATAAAACAAAATAATATCACGTCTCGCGCGCTGAAAATGAAGCACTATTACATCGTGCGCGCGTTATTAAACGTATTAGTGGTATCTATTACCGGCGCGGAATTAATTTTCCGTATAATGTAGTGCACAAGAGAATAATTCACGGAATTGATAAGTATTATATTTCAAAAATATTACGTATCATATATTTTAATAAGTCTTATCTTAGTACTTTGTGCCTATCTAGCTGTGAAAAATAAAGATCACGTGGCCGAGGTCCACAATGATAAAAGTAACATGCAGTGATAGCTGTTGGAGTTTACGTACGATTTCAGGATTATTTTACTTGTCACTTGTCACTCTAACTCTGTCGTATTTAGGTAATCATTAAGATAATAGCTAACTCTCTTGCTGACTCTGGTTAGATATAGATTTATGTAGACCAAGCCCACGTAGGTACGTGTTCAAGTTCACGTATCGACCGGAAGGATGACTTCCGATCGCTCGTCCATTACACCGGGTATATACGTGGCTTTTATTTCTTTTCTCCGCCACGCTGAAGCAAAACCGGTGGGAAACCGCAAGTAAAAACTCGAACGGACTCGATATAGATATTCGAAATTCGTCTTTGTGTCTTAATGTGTTTCGAAAACACATCCGAGTTTCCTTTCGGAGGCTAGAAACCGGTTTCTTCTCCGAAGAAATCTTGACGTCGCAACCGCCGATCTTACTCACGGCCTTGAAAAGAGTAAGCATTTTCGCGGTCTAATTCACCGATATCTTTCGTGACGAACACTTTCCATTGTGTAACGAATCTTTTCTCGCTAGCGGCTTCGTTTCTCGGCCATTTTCAGACTCGGAGATGATGTGCAATAACAACGAGCAATTGCTTTTCAGCGAACAATTATGTAAAAACCGCAAGGTAAAAATCAAAAGGGGGATTAATGTTTCTATCGGTTGTTTGCCTTTGTGTAGAATTACAAGCTCGCTCTCACGGCGCTCGGGAGATTTAAATGACGTGAGTTAAAAGCCTAGCAGTACAACGACTCTTTCAAGTCCACGTTTCTCTCTTCAGACTTCTATTGAACTCTGTTACGTAAACCAAGAGAAGTGTTTGGGCAACGCGTCTACAACGGTACCGAAGCGTGCATCCTCGATGCGGACGTCGCGAGCGTTTCGTTTTGAGAAAGAACGGAAGTACTTTCACTGCCTACGAGGATGGCAACTTAAAAAAGCCTCCTCTGAGGCGCCATGTGACGCGAAGTTCGTGCTTCAAACAGGCGATCACGTGCTCTTGCGAAACCGTGTCTTCTTTCCGAAATCAACGGGGACTTTCCTTACTTACGAAATTAACAAAAATGTAGGTACTGCTCTTGTATAATGGCCTAATGATCTCCAGGAGCGCAACGTTCTTTGTCTACCATTTTGTATCGTTGAAACAAATTTCTGTCTAATCGTTGATATAATTGCTTGGTAAAGTTGGAGTATGTAGGTGAAATTTCTCTCTCGTGCTGAAGATTTAGTAGACAATTCAGTAAAAATCAATTATTTAATTATAGGGAAATCTTTTAAAACAAATTTTCATTGTAATTGCGAATTATCTAAAATTGATATTCAATTAGAGCATTTTTTTTCTTTTAACAGGCTTCTATTAGTCTAGAAACCACTAATATAACGCGATTATTAAACTTAATATCGTATTATGTTGAAATTCAGGTTGAGAATCTGGCACCGATCGCTTCCATGCATCAAAATCACCGCACGCACCGGCTTGCGCTCTTCGCTTAACACACTTTTTATACGTAAGAAACGGCTGATAGCCTCTCTTTGGAAAGATAGGTGCTCTCCACGAAGCCGATCTTGCTTTCTCCCCGCTTTTATAGTAACTGCCGTTTAATCACACATTAAACTTAACGAAACGAAACGAAACCGAGTATTCTGTTCTACGTGCCTTCACCCATTGCGTCGATTCCGACAATAAATCGAATAAATTTGATCTGCTTCGAGATGTATTCTCTGTGTATGAAAATTTATCGTTCGTATAATCAAGCTCCACGGGAGAAAGTTTTCATTTTCGAAGCTGATCTTACTTTATGCGGACCAACTTGCATTGTTAAAAAAAAAAAAGAACAAGATACACGTTTCTGATCGTGAGATAGATCTTTCGAGGCGTTGCACGAAGTTTTAGAAAACACCTCCAATATTGTTTCTCCGTGATAATGAACTACACGTATAAGACGACCTGAAATTATGAATCTCAAATTACACCTTGTTACACAAGTGCAACACTGTTTTCTCCCTGCTAAATAATATTCCCCCCCACTATAGTTTTAACAAGTATTTTATAATATTCACACCCAAGTTCTACATAGCAGCGCTCATTAAATTCTGTCTCGTTCGTGCGAACTGCTCCCAGATTCCGTGCGTATTCCTTTTGTATCAGCGTATTAAGATTAGAAAATAGAAAACACACGAGGAATAAAATAGACCAGCGGTCTACGAGAGGGGGAGACAAATCGGCGTGAGACTGCACTCACCGATTCAACAAACGTGACCTTCCCGGATTTCTCCTCGGCTGATCGAAGCAATGTGAGCGATTTCTCAGAGGGAACCCGTCAGGACACTACTCCTGCCGCCCTCTCTTCTACGACCTCTTCGTCTGCCACGTATGACCAGGATAGTCCTCAGCACCATAACACAATTGAAGGTACCGTGCGACGGGTTTCCTTATCACCGCGAGATATTCTTCCGCCAATTCCACGACTACATCTCACGAAACGCCCGTGCACTCGCGATTTATATACCCAGAATAGTGAGACTTAACTGATGAGAACATGCGAATAAGAACATGTATTTATGAAACTGCGAGAAGTTACGTTTTCTTATCGCACGTTATCGCGGTACTACAAGGTCTTGCCACTTCGACTATTGGGGCCGCACAGGACAGAATCTTCAAAATGTCGCCTAAGTTTTCCACAGACCGATACCCGTCAAGCTTCGAGGTCCGTCTCTTCTGTATCTCCAAAATGCCGCCGTCGTGAGTACGCCGCTCTCATTTCTTCTTCACTTGCACTTGCTTTCGACAGATAACCGGCCCTATTTTCCACCAGAGTTTCTCCAATCTTTCTGATTTTCCGAAAAAGAGCTCTCTTTTCATGGGAAATTCAACACTTTGTGGACGACCGATGGAGCGTGTCCGTGTTACCACACGGTGGCGAAGCTCCTCGCCGTGTGGAGGGCTCGCATCATGTCCTCTCTCGTCGAGGGCCCCCGGAGAACGCCTACTCGCCTGCTCGTCGTCGGTGTCTGCCGGCACCGCTACGTCTGCTCTCACTTTCTCTGTCGAGTAGTTTCATTTCGGTACGTAAAACTCTCTCGCAGTGTCTCCCCACTATGCGTGCGAGGCGGCAGTTATCACCGGCGCCGCCATCAATTCTTGGCATCCAAATCTAAAAAAAAAAGAAGAAAAAATTAAAAACCAATGCCCGCGAGGAAGACTCGCAATTGTCCCTCGATGATCCAGAATGACTTTTTTCTTCTCCTACTTTTCTTTTTACGCCATCAGCTTCCACGACCTTCCGAGTAATACCTTCCAACGCAGTGGGGATGGTGATTTCCAGGAAGAATATGCAGTTACTTTGGAGCAACTTTAACTCTCAGAAGTTATAAATTTATATATTTTTGTGATAATGATAACAATGCATTTGTGATAATGTCAGTGTATATTTGATTTTAAGCATCGAAGGTAAATGTCAATTATAAACACGCGCACACTCCTAAAACTTGCAAAAGGTGAACGACATTCGAGTGTCACCAAAATCCACGATGGTGGTCTGCCTAATCTCTCACCGCATTGTTCTTTTGTTCGTTAATGACTTGTAGAGGACGAGCGAGGTACCTATATTTCTGACATGCTAGAAAGTTACAGACACCCGACATCTTTATTCTATTAATTGAGGTGAGAGTTCGCGAAAAAATTTCGAAAAGCACGAACAAAAGTTTCACAAATCATATCACGAATTATATAAAGGTATGCAGAAAAAAAATCCATCGGAGATCTGTAATCCGAAGCATTTGGCAGGTAGTGATCGAAAGTCTTATATGTCATGCCTATATAAAAATGACAATTCTTTAATTGAAATCAATTCGTCTGTTGCGCCGCATTAAAAGCTCCAAAAGTAGCGCATCTCTGATTTGCAATATTTTCCCACGCGTTACTGGGTTACTGTGAATATTTAGGAAGCAGATCGAGACAATTAACTGTAGTTGACAGTTCTGAGAATGAGCATTGTTTTACCGAAAAAGAGCATGAAAAAGAAACCTTTTTCTTGAATTTTTACCAAATCGTCACGTTCTTATTATACAGCATATATTTTTAGTAACGCAATTGTATCCATCGCGTTCTTCAGAGGTTGGCAATCTAATTAAGCTAATTAATCAAACATTCGCGCAATCTGGGTTAATGTTATTTAAATTTCAAGTCGAAATGTTTGCAAAGTTACGTTTCAAGATTTTTGACAAGTCCTTAACACGTTGAAACCAAACAATTCGGCCCATTAGGAAAGAGAAGGTGCCGTTTTATTCAGAACATTCCCGTTCTCACGAATTTACGATGGGCATCAGGAAATTGTTGCGCCGTGAATTATTATTTAAGCGGTAGAGAAAGTCGGTGACAATTTGAAGAAAGGCGATGGGACAATTGCAATAAAATCACTTTTCGGAGCGAAGCTCTAATGTGCTACTGTCATGCTTGGATTCGCGCGGAGACGTATTGCGATTATCCCGAGATCTGCGCCCGCAGCCTTTGCAGTCGCGGTCGACGAACGATGACAAACTGTTCTGATTATTTTTAAGATCGATCTCCGATTATCACAACATTCCTGCGCGCTGATCGTGTAGATTACGGATCTTGTGGATCCGCTTCTGTAATATTGCGACTGCAAAGACGTAAGAGAATGTTGCAATCTGTTTTATAAGGTGCGACGAGAACCTGCAAAAACCCGGGAAAGTGATATTTTATAACGATAACGTGTGCGCGTTGATTCATCGGTTGATTCATCAAATTATAGGGTCTCTTCGGAGTCTCAGACAATTTTCCTAAGCGAGAGACTCGTGGTGATGTCTGACTTACAGAATGGCTACAAAAAGGTTAATGCAATTACAAGCAAGATAAAACAAAAAAATCGTACCATAAAAAGTTAGAAACACGAATCATTACTTGCATAATTTATGTGTGTAGACGTCGAACATTTATGCAAATTATATTTTACCTGAAAACGAAAGTAAGCGATGCTACATATGTCACGTATGACGCGTTATTAGCTCCTTTCTCCTTTTTGGCACCTTCAACTAAGACGTCGGCTTGTATCTTGTTACATGAACTATCTCTTTACGTTCCGGTTGACCACAGCAAGATTCAAGTGTAAGATGTATAATATGTACATCCGCATTAGTGAGAGTGATAAAACGAACCGTTAAATACGCGAGATCAAGTTCCAACGAAGTGATAAATTCCTACTGCTCGTAATTAGAAATTTCATTTCAAATTTAATTTAAACTTTTTGCTATAATATTTCAACATTTAATCAACTTGTAATGTTACCAAATATACGATACTTTTCACGTGCTTGCTTTAACACAACATAGATAAATGGGTGTAATTAATGAGGCTCGTTAACAACGGTGAATTGCATCTATTAGAAAGAAAAATCGGCATAAAGAATGTGCTGAATTAAAATCGAAAGTGTTCTCCGACCAGATCCTGTTGTAGAGAGCGACTCGTGGAGTAAGAATGTCGCGACTGGGAATGTACGCAAGATACGCAAGAACTGGGTCGAAACCGGAGCTCACAATCGTGAAATCATTGATGCTTCTTTTATTTGTCTAAGATAAGTCGCACCCGCCTCTAGAGTCAACCAAGTATAACTTTCTCCGTGAACTTCGAAAGTCCGGCGTATCCATCGCGTTTATCGCGACTCCGCGACAGGTTCGCGAACAAATTATGTCTCTTCGCCGGAAATCGGAGAGTTTCTTCTTCTCTTCTTTAGATATCACTCTCTATTATTTCCCCGCACGGAATAAGAGAAATTTAGATCTTTCGGAGTTGCATGTTTGTAATATGTAATAAGTAAACAAGTTGGAATATCAAAATCAAAAAAATCAAAATTTCGTTTACCTTCTGTTTTTAAACTCGGCCAAACCAAAATACAGCATTTTTAATATTAATTAAGTAATTTATGTAATTATAGTATTAAGTAATTTAAATAAGTACAGTATTTCTAAGTACAACGCCTTTACTTTAAACTATTTCAGGTTTTATTTTGCAATTATAATTATGTTGCTTGCAATCCACAACTTCTAAAAAATCAATATACAAATCATTAACTGTTTTGTGCATGCAAATTCGCGAATTAATAGGAAAATATTAACGTGAAAAGATGAAAAGAGAGAGAAGAAGTAGAGCCATATTATTGCGCAACGTTAAGGAAGCATAAGATGCCAGGATACAATTAGGCGACGACACAGGACGCTTTAGATGCATGATTGCACAGTCTTTTGCGTATACAAGACATGCCCGCGTAACTATTGTGACGTGAATGGATAAATACCGTTGGAATGCGATAGCTATTGCACGTCAGTAATATTAACCTGAGGACATGACGAAAATGACGTAGAAAGAGCACGAAAGAATGAAGTCGTGTGAATGCAACTATGTCATTACACTGACACATTGGCGAGCATTGAGTAATAAGTTTATCTAATAAACAATAATTTCCGCGGAAGGGGTAAAAAGACCATGAAACGTGGTTACATATCCTTTGTCTTTCGAAATCGAGACTGTATATTTAACAAGCCTATAATGCGATAAGCTTGTTAGCAACTTTGTTGTGCGTCATTAGAATCTATGTTGCAGATAAACGTGCCTATATATATCTTTGAAACCGGAATTAAATTAAAGATAATCCTCCATTTGGGGGGCGTATCGAGATACAAAGGGAATTCTTACTTTTTCAAACCAATTTATCATACATTTCAAATCCATTATTCATCTTGTTATGAAGAGTAATAACATAATATAATGTTGTTAATAACTAAGAATTAATAAAGATCAGACTATGAAAAGTTAAAAAGCGTAACATTTATATATTCTATAACCCGAGATACGTTAGGTAGTAAGTTTAACATTCAAGGAATCAGGCTTATGAAAAGAAAATGTTCTTTATCTCAAAAATCGCAATCGTCTTAAGTGGCTACCGCTGTGTGCGCAACACATAAGAATGACGTTAATTAGAGCGATATAAACGGAATCTGTTCGTAATCTTCCTCGTAAAAGGAAAACGTACTATTACGAGTAAACTCCTCCTCGTATTTGCTCCAATAATTTGCGAGCCGTACTGCTTTATAAATGATGTATTAACTCTGTTAGAAACTCTGTAAAATATTGTGCATCATGCGTTGAATGTAATATTTAATGTGCGATATTAAATAAATTATTAAAGCGAGTTGATTTTAACTTGATATCAAACGGTTAACTAATCTCGGACCTGCTTTATTTCCATTTTAATCTCAGTTTTATTACATTTATTGTCAATTGGAATTTCACGTGAAAGAATGTTTTAGAATGTTCAAACAGAATTTGTAAATGAGACAAGGGAGTCGAGATGAAACTCTTGTGCATCGCTAGTCACACTAACTTCCTTTCGCGACCCATATAGATCGGTTTGGCGAACATGTACGGTGTACACAGCCGCATATATCGGCGCAAGTGTATACACAAGTGTACATCTCTATGCGCGAAAGGGACTTTACTTTCTCAAGCACGCGACCGCCGTCACTCCATCGGCAGCTCCTCTTACTTTCTCTCCCGCATGTTTTAAAAGTAGGTCCCAAATAGGATTAAGCGATCTTTGAATTGAAGAGTCTTGCCACTCGATCCGCTCCTCGTGTTGCGTGCGACGTGCCGCTAATTATATGAACAAATAACATATAACAATCGCGTTAAGGGTAAGAAAAGAAATCTGTGAGAAGAAAGAAAGTTCAATAGATATAAAAATTACGGTTGTGGACGTGTAACCCGTAACGTATTGTATTTAAAAACCGCAGAATTATTTCGACTGATAACACTGCGGTTTTGTCAGAATTGGTCGGTTTTTCTTATTCGTTAACAAATATAATTTAAAAGCCATATTTTCTCGAGAGAAATCTTAGTAAAATCAGTACGTTAATTCTCCGGTTAATTTTCAGTAATTGTATTGATTAATCTTTACTGGAGCGGTGTCTTTCCAATACTCATTGCTTGCTGCACGCATTTATCAGCTTTCTAATCGATAAGCGCGTGAATCTCAGAGGGATAACTCCAGTGTTCGCTCCACTTACGGCTTCACGGCGCCGTGAACGGTCAATTACCCTCGCAAATGCATCTCACGGCAGTGCATTCATAAAATGCAAGCTACTTGTCTTATCTTCGTTCTACTACATATAGAGACACGCAGTTTCTGTGTTTCTCGAGCACAATTTTTAGCATGTTACTTACTTAATTTTTATTACGTTACATTCGTTTTTCTTTTACGCGACCATAAATGTCGGCTTATTGACTCATTCGAGGTGTCGCTTATGATAATAACAAGCTGAGATCTTCATCGCAATCAGCATCAGTTGTATTGCCGTTATTAGACTAGATTAGGTATTTGCTTCTAATTGCGTTTACGTGCGCCACGCGATCGCTGTGCGTATGTAAAATTTTATAATGCAGAAGTATTCTTTTTTTCGTTTTACTTGTCGCATGTATTTGTCCTCCTCGCTTTCGTCAGCGAAAGTGAATGGGACGCGACGACGTTTCTAATCGGCCAATTTGCATCAAAAGCTACTTGCATGCGCGTAATCGAATGTTATATCTCCAGTAAAGTTCGTAAATGTCACGAAATAAAGTGTGAATGTACCGCTTCATAATTTCACGTATACATGCATATGCGTACAATAAGATACAATTCACTAAATTAATAATAAGATTCAATTTGTATTTTCAATAAGAAATAAGGAAATCCTCGAATATCGCAGTAGAAAGATTAGCGCGAACTTTTATTACTTTTGTTCTAAATGAAGAAACGATTAATCAG